TTCTTCGTGCTCACATAGTCACGGTGACAGCTCCACACACATGAATCATAAGTCGGGTTACCCTGGAATTACATGTGCTAATGATTACTGTGCTTACATATCCCCATAGTCTTTTGTCAGGACCATATAGGATGCCGGGGCAACTCTCTGGGGCAGCTTTCTCCATGAGTCAGCTCAGCAGCTTGAGGGAAAGGTTCCATCATTTCTCTACCCAGGCTTATACTTTGTCTAGGGCAGAGAAGAAAAAGGAGAGAATAGCTAGAGTTGTTTCCTTTCAGAACATTTTTGGAGTAGATATACTAAAGGCACTGTTGTCTCTGATAGAAGAAAGAGATAGTACCTCAGATACTGGCTTGTCCGAGGTTATAAAGTCCCAGTGTGGGAGACAAAGCTTCTAAAGGACAGAGGATATTTTTCTCAGTTCTTTTTAAAGCCAAGATTGATACTTAAATAATTTAGCACATCTCTGCAAGGTCTGAAGTATAATCTCTCAAGCTAAAGCTACTCTAGAAGTTGGGAAAGAATAGAAGGCATGTCACACCATGGAACATTCCTTGAATAGTTCCACCAGGTAAACACTTTCTTTCCTAATAGTAATCTGCTGGGGAAAAATTATCTTTCTGAACAGTGGTCAAGAGCTGTGGCCAAAATCAGAGCCTGATCAGTTACAATGAAGTCTTATAAAAAGCCATGTTTCCAAGCTGTGGGTGACATCACGGAAACAAAGATGATGCTGGGGTGTTTGTCCCCATCAGAGCTGAGGGCAGCCTGTGCTCTCAAGCTCACCAACATTGGCCTTAGTAGAAAACCATTGTCTTTTCTTGTAGACTTATGTGTGCACTTTGGAATATATACGTGTAGTTATCTCTATTTTATTTTTTGGATAACAGGTCTAACAGAGAAACAATTAGAATTAGGTATGTTTCTTCCACAGTCTCAAAGTCACAAAGAAGAGCTCTTCACAGAATGCTAAGTCTATTTGATACCACACGAGCTTGGTTCAGATTAAGTCAGAAACCTGCTGTTTGTTAAAAATGTAAGACTGAAGAATGTTGCTATCAAACTCACCTTTATTTTGAAAACCTTCATATATGTAATATATGAGCTTTCCTGTGGATGCATGAGCACAGAAGTGTACATGTCACAACATGTGTGTCAAAGATTACTTTCAGGAGTGAGCTTTCTCCTTCTATTATGGATTTTGGGGGATCAAGATCAGATGATCATCATGCTGGGCATTGGTGAAGCACACCTTTAATCCAAGCACTGGAGAGGCAGAGGCAGGTGGATCTCTGTCGAGTCCAGCCTGGTCTACAGAGCTAGTTTCAGGACAGGCTCCAAAGCTACATAGGGAAACTCAAAAAACAAGCTCAGATCATCATTCTTTAGGATGTACAGATGTACTTCTACCTGCTGTGCCAGGTTGTTGGTCCTTGAAAACATTTTCTGTTTCAGAATATCTCATCTAAACCTGTTCCCAAAGTATGGCATTCTTCTTGTAATTAAATCTCAGGACTACAGTTCAGTCCTGTGGCATTTTTGGCTATTAGGATAACATGTAACTTGGTGATTGCCAATTGTGATTTATACACAACTGAAGTTAAAGATTTTACTAATAAATTTATAACAAACTATTTTCCCCCAGTGGATGTCTGTTTTAAGAACTGGAATAACCCATGCTTATGGATCAGGATTCGTATTGGGAAAATTGCCATCCTAACAAAAGTAATTCACATTCAAAGCAATGTCAGTTAAAATCCCCATGTTATTCTTCAGAGAGATGGAAAAAATAATCTTAAAATTTGTAGGGAAAAGGAAAAGACCCTGGGTGACTAAAATGATCTTGAGTAAAGAGTGTATTTTTCTGTCAATGTGATAGAATACCTCAACAAAAGGCAACTGCATGAAGAAGCTTCTGGAACTGTGGTCCAAATAGGCCAGGCTCCACTCAGATGTGGTAACAGAGGTTGGTAGTTCATCCATGTGGCACATGGTTAGGTTTATCACACTAACAAGCCCACTCTCAATACTGTTTTCTGCATTGGTCGTAGTTCATCCATATGGTATTACATTTTCCATCATCTTTACTGTGTTGCGTACACTTCCCAAGTAAAATGTTTCCATCTGAGTCCTTGTCTTTGTGTTTGCTTCTTATAGAATGCCAGACTCAGTAATATCAGGGTGGCTGGATACTTGGGAGACATAGCTCACAACCGTACATGTGCTAACTGCTCTGTGAATGCCATCTCTATTTTATACACGAGGGCACTGAGGGGCAGGGGTAAGATACTTACCCAAGCTTACCCAGACAATAGATGGATTCTCTAGGATGCCACTATAATCTACCTACGTAATAACTGGTCCACCGCCTGTATGGAGCTTCTTGATTTAGGCACTGATGATATTTTAGGTCAGAAAATGGATTTTTGTGGGTCCTTCTGTGTGCATTCTGGGATTTCCAGCCACAGCCTGGCTGCTAGGCAGTAGATGCTGATAGCAGCCCTGTTTGTTGTGAAGCAGTTTTGTACACTGTGAATCTGTGTCACTCTGATTGGTTTAATAAAAGCTAACGGTCAATAGATAGGCAGGATCTTCTGGATAGAAAGGATGCTGGGAAGAATAAGGCAGAGTGGCCACCAGAGACAGAGCAAGCAGGAAAGCAACATGGACAGTATAGGGTAAAGGTAATAACAGCCACGAGATAAAAAGTAAATTAATAGAAATGGGCTAATTTAAGTAATAAGAGCTAGTTAGGAACAAGCCTAAACTTTCATACATAATAAGTCAATTTTTGTGTTTGCAGCTCAAAGAAAAATTTGTCTACACCTGTCCATTGTTGTGAAAACCAAACATGTTTCTACAAATTGTTCAGTGTCCTCCGAGGGAGGGGAGGATGGATTTCTATGAGCACCAGGGGTGAGAGTCAGATCCTGTCAGAAAAACTCATGAAAATCAGACATTTGTGCTGAGGGAGAAAATCAAGTGACAGTGCCCAGAGGCCCTGGCTAAGCCTGTCACCCTTCTGTGTCTTCTGACTCCAGATCGGGCCCACTTTCCATTTTGCTGGGCTTCCCAGGAACAGCTGTTCTGAGCAGTGCTTGTTAGAAAGTTCTTTCCTATTGAGCCCAAATCCGAGCCTGGAACCTTACCTCACCAGAGCACCCCGCAGAGCCCCAATCCTTCTCAGGCTGCCACTTGAAACCATGTGTGCTCCTGTCATGTCCCCAGGACCCCCACAGACCCCTGGCACACCAAGATTCAAGCTCTAAAGACAGCAACTGCACCTGTCAAGAAGTGGGTGATGATTCTTGGTCTGAGAATTTAAACCTCTGGGCTCCTTTTCAAGCATGTGAGCAAGCCTTGCCAGGGATTTTAAGGCTTCTAGAGATTTCTGACATAGTTTCCTGTGGTCCTGTGTTTGGGAACCTCTGATCTAAGTCATTTGAGATCCGGGAAAGGGTATGATTTACTTCTTAAAACAGCTACAGCGGCTTTAGAAAAGACTATTATAAACAAACCCTGAGGCAGCAGATATGCTCCCATCCAGACTTGCTCTTCAGTTAAAAAAAGAAAGAAAAACACAACAAACAAGTAAACAAACAAACCAACCCCTACTCTGTCTATGTAGTTTCAAAAACTTATGTAAAAAAGTATAGATGACAATGTAAAAATAAAATACTAGGTTGTTCTTTTCTTGGTAGTGGGGCTAAGTATATTTAATTTTCCTCTTCATCCCCTTTTCTTTATGTTGAAGCTTTTAGAATGAATGTTTTATTTACATCATATACACTGCAAGCACTTTTATAATTTACAAGCTAGGCAAGTGCTCTCCTGCTGAGCAACCCTTTATTTTGAAATAAAGTGTCCTAAATTGCTCAGGCTGGCCTCTGACTTCTGATCTTCTTCTTTCATCCAGATACCATGTAATCTATTTTCCAAAGTCTCCTATATGTTTTAAACCAAATTGTGATGATCATGTTGATACTGTTTCTTTAGAGATGAAGGAAACTGGTAGAAGTTAAGTGTAAGAAACAAAGGTGCAATCAGAGAACTAGACTCAGTGGGAGGAAGAGAATATCCAAGTGATAGAGTTGAGAAAACAGCACCCCAACCCTCAAGCCACAAGAAAGAAGATCCAGCATGCATGGGACCCCTAGAGAAGGATCAGAGAATGCAACCAAGTACAAGAGTAATGACGGTGGCACAGTAATGAGTACTAAGGTTGGAGAGGAAGGTAAACATTGGTTAAATCACTGTTTACTCTGGATAATTCATTTCATTCCCTGTCTGCAGCTTTACTTTTCATGACCTAGATTCTATTTTAAGAGTTTCTGAAGTTCCTCTCTGAGCAGGGGTTTCCTCTCCTCTTCTCCATAGACTTTTCCAGGAGGAGTCTTCCTAAAGTTCGATTCCTTCTGTTCCCACAAACACCCTGTTTAAAGGTTTAAAGGTTTAAAGGTTTAAACCTTTAATCATCATTTTGTCTTGTGAGAGGATGTTCTTTCTTCCTGGAAAACCCTTGCCTTTCTTCTGGGCAGTGGTTCCTGTTGTTCTTGGCTGCTAGGCTTAGCATCTTGGGCAGCTCTGTGCCGGGGTTGGAGTGCCTCTTGAACCACAAGGAGTGTTTGCAGAACTGTGAAATCCTAAGCTACACTTTTTTTTTTTTAAATTAAATTTCTTTCAGGTTAGCTACAAAGTACTGAGTTTCATTATGGAATTTACAAACATATGTGCCACACTTTGTTCCCATTCATTCCTCCCTCCACTGGCCTCCTATCCTTCTAGAACTGAAACAGAAGACTCCATTTCACCCTGCCCTCAGCAACAGGACACCACAGAGCTAGTCACTGTTTAGGCATTATGGATTTTTTGGGGGCATTCCATTTCATGTTGTAAGGGCTCTGTGTGTGCTGGATGGGACAGGAGAGTGAGAGCGAGTGTCTAGAAATGTGTCTGTGGGTACTCTGGGTAATGATACCATAAATAACTTGAACTCCCACTGGCTGGCTTTTGGTCACAAAGAGCTCATCATTTCAAGTGCAGTCCTATATACAAAACACTGGAGACTGGAGGCCACACAAACTGAGATCTCTATTCCCTAAGGTAAAGGCATGTTTAAACTGCTAAGCTGAAAAGGATTTGAGGGTTTGGAAGGCACTAACCAGGAATGCTTTAAGAAATATCAAATTGGTAATACTAATATATGTTAAACTAATATCAGACTCTACATAGGCAATAGTAGTTGTGTAAGATTTTTTTTAAATTCACAGCTGTCTTTGGCAAAATGATTTTTCATGTTCTCCCTCCCCCGCATGTGAAATAAAGAAGTGTCTTAGATTACATGTGTGGTATCAGATGTGACAGACAGGCACCTTGTTACAGGGTCATACTGAATGCCCACTGTATGGTCCTGGAGGTGGTAACAACAGTGGGGACTGCATATGTGAGAGAGCATTACAGCTCTCAGGCCTCCAGTCCTACGTGGTTAGGTGTCACAATTAACTGCATTTTCAATGCACTTGTGTGTAACAGGGCCAACATTCTACCACAGGCTCCTCACTACACTGAGAGCACTTTTGTACCACACAATGATCAGTCTGCTACTCTTTAAAGTTGACACCATTAACTTCCTGAAGTCACTGAAAAGTTGGAAAACTAAAAATGAAGACAGGTAAGTGTCTGCAAGGGGAAGGATGCTCTTGTGAGGCATAATGGTGGAAGTCTTGGCTAGCTTGTTAACATTGAGAACTGAGGGAATATGACTTGGCATGAGTGGATGAAAATGACACATCACACCCACCCATTGCAGTCTAGCTTCTTAGACACCCCCTTTGCCACATTGCACCCTCATGATCTCCTTTGTTTGAAATCTTTGGTATAGAGACCCCAGGGTCACATAGTCTCTTCAGATGTAGTTATGAATGCTGCATGGCCTGGATCCTCTGGGATTCGCTGCTCGTTCATGGGCTAGAGTGGTTGAATGCAAGCAAGTTCAGTAGTGCTGCCTGGAGACCACCCTCAGTAGCTGAAAACAGCAGAATGGAGCAGCCCGTGAGCATGGCAATAAACTCAGGGTAGTAAATGCACATAGTGAAATCCACAAAAGCTTGTTAGAAAAAGATTACAGTGTGGACTTAACATACACTAAGCATTGGACACCATTTCAGGAAAGCCACAGGGCAGCGGCCTAGACTCAGTGTGGGCTGCAGCTGGATGTCCACCCAAACTTCTGGTTCTCATTAACCAACTTCACCTCTATCTTGGATTCTCTGCCACAACACTGTCTTAACTGGATTGAACACTGGCTTGGTGCATGCAAGCCAAGTGTTCTGCCACTCAGTTACATCTCAAACTCTTTTTATTTTGAGACAGTCTATCTATGCTGCCAGGTTGGCCTTGAACTTGTGATCTTTTGCCTTAGCGGTGGGACATCAATGGGAGTATTGTGATTTTGAAGCTGGTTCTGTTTCTGTTTTATCTCACTAACCTCCAAATAGCAGTGTCTGCTTTGTCACTTAGCAAACATCAAGTGACCTGAATCTTTCAGGTTCAATAGGCCTGTGGCTTTTGTGCCTATCAGTGCAACAATTCTCTTGTTGCAAATCCATCTTCCTGTGTGTGAGTGGGGGTGTTAAAGAGATGCCACGTACAGAAAGTGGGGAGTCAGGTCAGTCTTCTAGCTAGAGTGCAGTGCTTTCTACTGTGTTCCAACACAGCCTCAGAGTCCGATCCAAGCTGGGTTTCTTATCCATGGTTCCACTTACCCACAATCCATGAGTGTCCCAATGGCACCCAATGATTGACAGGCTTTCTTCACTGAATATGTTCCAAATGTCATTTGAAACAATTAAAACTCCAGAACTTAGTGATGAGCTGCACAGTACTGGGTTGTGACAAGGAATGGCAGCATTTATTTCCAGGTGCACCTACTCTGGTTTCCATTTCTTCTTGAGCACAGGGGCCTCCTATCACTCCACAAAACTGTCTCCTTGGGTGGCTGCTTTATTCACCCTGAGGAACCAAGCTGAAAAGCAGAGGTTCTTCTCAACTCAGCAGATGCTAAAGTGATAAGCACTACTTTCTGGGACCCTGTAAGGCTGACTCTGAAGTGTCTTTCCCCTCTCGGCAGATTCTGGCTATGGACCAATGTCTCCGCATAGCACAACAGCCCCTGTGTCCAGGGACCCCACAAGAGGATGGTTTTGCAGGACCCTCAGCAGGTAAGAACTTACACATTTCCCAGCCACAAGAATTTGTATTTCTCCTAAACTTTGGGTTTCTTTGAACTATAATAGGGAGTAGCAGAGAAATATCTTTATACAAACAATTGCCTTCTATTTTTCATTGTCATTCCCAAATGTTTTATCATTTGTACAGGTTTGAGAATATTGTATGACTGAAACAAGAGCAAAAGAAAATTCAGATTTGTTTTTGCTTTTCATCCAGATGCATTTTTAGCAAATTTCTCCTATGGTGGATCCTTGTCAGGGGTATTTTCCCCTTAGAGCCATGTGGAGGTTTAGGATTACACCTGGGTATGGACTCAGAAGCAAATGAATAATAGACATAATCAAGGATGTCCTGAGAGCCATTTAAAACAATTTAAAGTGTTAAAAATATGTTTCACTTGCTAAAGAGGGTGATATTTTTTCAAATTATTTCATAAAATATAACTGTCACTAAAAACCTGATGTTTAAAGTGATCCAATAGTTAAAAGTGTAATACAGATATTTTTTCTCTTTATAGATCTTCAAGGGGTCTTACATAAAACTACTTATATGATAATAACCATCTTAACTCCAGTTCTGGAGATCTGATGCCTTCTATGATCTCTGCAGATACTGTATCATACCCTGTACTCACATGACACACAGACATATCTGCATATACCAAGGCAAAATACCCATATACATGAAATAAAAAAATGAAAAACCACTTAAATCTCACCTTTAGTTATCATACACATGTCACGGTGACCCATGCTTTCCAAGTAACTTCCATCTTCTCTGTCACTAGAACATACACCACCTATGGTGGGTGTATTTATACAGGGTCTCTTCCTCTCTGTAGGAACTAGGAGTGAAACATTTCTCCATTGTGGTCCTCTGCCTTCTATTTGCTGGAACCATATTCAGCACCAGCTCACAGTCCTGAACCTAGAATCTTACCAGTTATTCATATAGATGGGGTTTATTTGTCCGATCACTGTGAGAGCTGTGTGTGTCCCTTGCAGCTCTACAGTGGAGAGGATGCCTCCAGGACCAGATTGGTTCTTGATGAGCAGGGTCCTGAAATCTCAGTTAAGCTTAGCTCTTGGGTCATTGCATTCATTTCTCTTTTGAGTGGTGGAAATCAGAACTGTCTGCTTGTTAACAGCCATGAAATTATCAGAGGAACCAAAGGCTTCCCCTGCATTAACTTATAAATGACTCACTCATTCACTCTCACTGTGGTCGGAATCTGTCTCTAATATATCCTACATTAATATTATTAAAAAATATAACAAACTTCTAGGAAATAAAATGAAAATGTATATAGACATAGTCTATGAGCCATAGTTTATTTTTAAAATTCTTTGCAACAATCACTATCACCCGAAGTCACTGTAAGGCCTGCCCTGAAGGAAGGTACCACTGAGTAGGGTTCTTTTCAAACTCATCTCCTTCCTCTTTCACCTTGAGTGGCTGTTCTGACTCATCGATTTCCTAGAGCCCAGATTTTATTGCTCTGTCAAAATCTAGTCATATCCCAGGATACAAAGACAAAGACCACACATGTCCCCTCTACTTCAAGACAAAATTACCCATTGTTGGTGCCACTTTAGTCTTTGGCCAACAATGACTGGTGGGTCATCTTTTCTTTTTGCCTCACCGCTCTTTTTAAACTCTGGAAAACCTGTGAAGATTTGTGACTGCATGATACCAGCCCCATCAGGTGCTCTCTTCCTCATTTGATATGATATTTGAGAATTGCTATCATGGTTCATGGGGCTAAAGGAGTATTTAAAGCAGTTGTAATTTAATAACTGGAGTTAAGCTAACAGCCTCACCAGGATTGCGGAACTAGTTCAACAGTGGGTAGCTTGGGCCTTTTAAGGGGTAGTTGTAGATTTAGGAGAACATGCTCCTGTCAACATGTGGGATTACTACATCACCTCAATGTTATGATCTTGCTTGTACAAATAAAGCTTGTCTGAGAGATCAGAGAAGGAACAAACCAGTGCCACATCTTACCTTCTTAGTATCTCAGCAGACAAAAGAGTAAGTTCCTGTTTCTCCCTGCTTATGTCCTGTTTCTGCCCAGCTACCTCACTTCCTGTCTGTACAGACCTCCAGACCTCTGTAGTTAGCTAGCAGCAAGCTCTATTCTCTGACCTTCAGACAGGCTTTATTTGTACAAGCAAGATATCACAACATTGTCTAAAATTAAAAGAAAAAAGTTATAACTAATACAAGAAAAACTATACCCAAGACCTAAAAATTGCCTGATGTGTGTTTATCCTCCAAGTTCAGAGATCTTACTCAGGCCACTTTGCATACAACCAGATAACACTGCTTTCTTTTGGTGGCAAAAGACAGACAGGTCTGCTCTTCTGTATTCTCCTACCTAAGGAAAGACCAGGGACATCCTTTGTTATTTTGTCATATTATTAAAGGGTTACATGTGAATTCCAGTCCCCATCACCCCATGCAATTCAGTTTTGTTATGTAGTCAGAGGTGTTGATGGTGGCCCTCCCCTTAGAGAAACAGTTTCATCTGTTTTCATCATCTGATTTTTCTGCTTCACAGAGTCTGACAGGATAGAGTCATCTCTTCATAGTATCCAGAAATTTGTTCCTATAGACTATGCCAGCTACACACAAGAGCATTATCAGTTTGCAGGCAAGAAGATCATCATCCAAGAATCCATTGAGAACTATGGCACGGTGGTGTGGCCAGGGGTGAGAACTGATATTTACTTGTGGTCAGGCTTTCTGGAGATAAAATGTTTTAGACATCTGTGTTGTATACGACAACTGGCCATGTGTCTTCTCACCTTTGTGCTTTTCCAATCAATGAGTAACAGCCTGGTAGTACCCCAGGGGTTTGGTTGTGTTAGGCTTCTGCAGACATAAAGCATTTCTTCCAGCAGCACTGGCTTTGAAGCAAAACTCTCCTTTCCCTTTTCTGTAACTTCCTCCTCCTCTTGCCCCCTGCCAATCCTTTCTCTTCCTCCTCATCATGACAAACAAATGTGCCATCACTGAGCTACACATCCCCCTAAACAATATTTACTGAATACTTTCAAGTGACCTAAGTAGACCACATTGGAAATGTGACATAAAACTGATACAACTAAGACATGAGAAAAGTTAAGAATTTATAATTGAGAATTTACAGTAAGCACCTTTGGGGTCCCTTCATTCTCAACCATTCATTGATTTCAGACTTATTTCACAAGGCAAAAGGCAGACACTGCAGAGGAAACATTCAGCACCATTTCTCTACCCCTTGCTTCCCATGCATGTGAGTATGGTATTGAAACAGACGAAAGTCCATTATTTTCAGGTTGTGTGGTCATAGGCAGTCATTTGTCTATTTTTCTCTGGTTTCCATATTTCAAATGTGAATAATGATAAGAATAGTTGCTGACATGGTTGTCAAGATTAATAAGGCACTACACCTAGGCTCACATTAGCTGTAATTATTGATGCAACATTAATCCTACCTCACAGCTGAGAATACAAGGGCTCAGGAAGTTCAGAGGCTTGGTGAACCTTAACCCTGGGGTGCTCTGGGGCCCAGTATTACCAATCTTCCCAATGCCAGCCTGTTCAGATCAGAAAGGGACCACAGCAGAAATTGTCAGACCTTTGGAGTAATATTGAAAGGGAGATTTTGATTGAAGACTGGCTAAAGGATGGAAGGTTGTGACTATTATTTCTTAAAAGCTGCCTAATAGCACATATGATATGACATGGTACAGAGACTCTGAGCTGGGAAGCCATGATGTTGGCTCTGGGGAGCACTGAACAGCCATGTGGAGGGTACCAAAGGGCTTTCCAGGTATTCTGGGGATTGGTAATAATGAGAACAGCCAGGGCTTCTGGGTCTGAGGCTCTTTTAGTATTTACACATGGTTATGGTTTCCTTCCAGCAAAGGTCTTTTCCCTAACCCGGAAGTTTGCAAACACCACACCTCCCCGCTTTCTTTCCTATTATATCAAACAGGTAACTACAGTGATGGTAAACATCAGGAAAAGAAAGGCCTCAGCCTGTTGTGCACCAAACTGGCCTCTCTTGGTATCTCCAAGTGGGAAAATGGTACTTCCTGTGTGATTTATGGTGCAGCTGTCCATGAAAAGAGGTTACTTCAGAGTTCACTTGGAAGGATAGAGTTGGGGGTTTGAAAAGTCAAAATGACACTTCATATGCACTTACTGGAGGGCAAAGTGTCTTCAGAAAGAGGCTGGCCTTAGCCATCATCACAGGATCACAGAGTATGTTTTGGGGACCACTGTGATAATATTGAAGGTCCATCAAGATCTTCTCCTTGCCAACCACAACCTCCTTCCTTGCTTTGGTGCTGTTTTGACATCTAGTACTCACACCTAGCAGGCCACCTGCATCTTTCTTCAGCTGGTGCATCTCTCCCTGCATGTGGAAGGCTGAATTGACTACCCAGTAGCCTCTATTCCTCCCTGCCCCACTTGTATGCCTTGCTTATGCCATGTAAAACACAGTATTTTGTAACTGGTTTACATGTCTTAGCCCTGCCACCAGAGTATCTTTGACAGCATAGATAACTGCTATTACCCTTGCAGATATTTATCTGTTCAATAGGAACACATATAATGGGGTGAATGAGGTTACTGTACTATTCACCTTATGAAGTGCAATAAGAGGTGTTCAGAAATTCCCTGGCCAATGATTTCCTGCAGCTCAACTGCTTTCATTTCCATGTCCAGACTTCAATCCTGGCCTGTGCATATGAGTTTGTTAATCTCTTGCACATACTTAGTGTTTTAGTCTTTCTCAGGGAATTGCTGACATTTCAGTGACAGATGGATGCTTGTGTGTGTGGGTACACAGGTACACACACACACACACACACACAGAGAGAGAGAGAGAGAAAGAGAGAGAGAGAGAGAGAGAGAGAGAGAGAGAGAGAGAGAGAGAGAGAGAGAGAGAGAAGGTCTTGGCTGTCCTGGGGCTCATTAATTGGGCCAGGCTGGCCTTAAATTCATAGGGATCCTCTTGTCTCTGTCTCCTGAGTGTTGGGGATAAAGATGTGTGCCACCATGCCCAGCTGACACAAATAAAACTTTTTCTTTTTGGTGAATCAATGAGATATTATATCTCAGTATAAGTTTGGGGAGGTAGAAATAAAAAATAATTAAACAATGAAAAGGACATTTGGTGTCATTCACAAAAACTAATTTGCTAACTCATATTGTAGTCCAGACTGACATCATTAGAGCTGATGTAGACATAGAGACCCAGACTTACAGAAGTTAAGCATCTTCACTGAACACTTAGAGAAATACTATCCTGACAGTGTTTATCAGCTAAAAGGAGAAGGGGGGGGGACCCCCAAATTGGTCAGTTGTCCAATATAACAGTCCTAATTAATCTGAATTTTGATAAAAGAACTGAGAGAAAGGTGCTTAAATTCATATCACTTACTTGAAGCACTTAGAGACCCCACATGACAAGGCTGGCAGAAATTGCTCTTTTTCAGTGCACATTCCCCATTTATTCTAGGAGTGGAACTATCTTTATCCTCCTTTTTCTTCTTTGTCTTTTGAGGTCAGGTCTGACATAGACAACAAGACTAATCTGTTTCTCTAGTTCCTTAGTTAGAACTATATTCAGGCACAGATGGCTATGACATTAAGGTTTTTTTTTTTTTCTTTTTGGCTGTAGGAAAGAGATAGAATCATCCAGTAGCTTAGGCTGGTTCAAGTCCCTCAGTGCTGTGCTTACAGGTCTGGCTATTTTGGTTCTTACAAAACACTAAGCTGAAATATTTAGAGTTACCTTAATGTTCAATTACAAGCATACAGTGATCTGCTTCTAGCTTGTAATGATCCACTTCCCAAATTGAAATTGTTTTTAATGCCTTTTAGGCTACAGCTTTGTGCCAATACTTGGAAGACCATGCAGAAGAATTAAGCCTCCAAGGTGCTAAAATACTTGAAATTGGTGCTGGACCAGGCCTGGTTTCCATTGTGTCCAGTCTTTTAGGTTTGTTTCCTTTTGTTCTCATTTCAAAACAAACAAACAAACAAACAAACAGACAACTTTCCTGTGACAATACTACTGACAGGATATGCCACAATTTCACTGAATTGTTTCCAAATGTCAAATGACAGACATCATTAATTATTCAGAGATAACAGTCTTGGAGAATCTAGTCGACTACTAGTTTTCATGTAAGGAAGTTGAGACTCCAAAAGTCTGAAACTGAATCCCTATAACATTCATCAGTGGGGTGGAGGTTCAAACTGGGGTGCTACTGACATCAAATATGGCGTACAGAGAGCTCAGGTCGCGACTGTCCAGCTTAAATTACATCCGTTACAAATTACAAACAAAGGCATGGTTTAAGAGATGAAGATATTCATTGTCTCCCAGTAAAGGAAATGCTGGCCGCCTACATGTCTCCAGCAAATTACCATTTCTCTTTCTTTTAGGAGCTCAAGTCACTGCAACAGATCTGCCTGATGTTCTAGGAAATCTTCAATACAATCTTTTAAAAAACACACTGGCATGCACAGCTTATCTACCTGAAGTGAAAGAACTGGTATGGGGGGAAGATCTGGACCAGAAATTCCCCAAGTCAAACTTTTATTACGATTATGTCCTGGCCTCTGATGTGGTCTATCACCACTACTATCTGGATAAGCTACTTGCTACTATGGTATACCTTTCCCAGCCAGGCACTGTGATGCTTTGGGCAAACAAATTCAGATTCAGCACTGATTATGACTTTTTAGATAAATTCAAGCAAGTTTTTGATACCACTCTTGTGGCTGAACATTCAGAGTCATCAGTGAAACTTTTTAAAGGGATACTAAAATGTGACTGATATTTAAAGAGCCTTTCAAAGTATCATTGTCTTCTTGTGAGCTATCAGAAGGTACACCATACCATACTGGTGGTATAACTAATATAAATGCAACTCAATACAACTTTTCAAGATGATAAAATTACATGGTTGGTCTAAGTGTCTGTAGAGAACAACACAGAAACATGAAAGCAGTCTTGCTAACTTGCCAAGAACTTTGAGTGCTTAATACATTTTTACACAAAGTTAACGAACAAGTGAGTTCTTCCTTGTTTCTGCTATAGTGACTGGGTTTTAAATGAATATGCTTTTGTTGTAATTATTGACATGGAACTTGAGAGTTTGTGTAGCCCAGGGCAGCTTTGAAATAGATATGCACCTGCCTCTGCCCCCTGATTACAGGCATGTGCTACGGTCATTAGCATACTGTGGCTAGGACATTTATATGGACTGTAGTAGGGAGAGGGTAACACTAACTAAAGGTACAAAGCAGGGAAACTTATGGAATGAGGAAACATCTTAAGAACCTTTCTCGAGGTGTTAGAGAGATGGCTTGGCAGTTAAGAGCAAATGGTATGTAATCATGGGACTGGAGTGCAGATCTCAGTACCTATATAACAAGCTGGTGTTTAACAAACAACTCTTTACAGCTCTGAGGGATTTGATGCCCTCTTCTGAACTCTGAGAACCACAGATGCACACACTGACACATACATATGTGGACACCCAGACACATGTATATTGCCGAAAACTTCTCTAGAGAACTCATAAGTACTTTACCTCAAATACATGTTGACAATTTCCCATTAGACTTCTAAACTGCCTAGTTTTTTTTTTCCTCCCCACAAATTTCTGATTAAAATCATTGCAACATTAGAAAAGAATGGGATTTCTTGTTCTCATAAAACATAAAAATAAAAAACTAAGTATCACAGGGCTGGGAGAGGGGGATTTGTTCAGTAATGTGTTTGCCACATAAGTGTGAGATCTGGATTTAATCCTTGAGAACAATATAAAAAGCTGGGAACAGCAGCATAATCCCACAATCTTGGTGATTGGGAGATAGAGATAGGAGGATCCCTGGTGCTCGTTGGATAGGCAGTCTTAGCCTAATTGATGAACTTCAAGTTCAGAGACCTCAGCTCAAAAATAAAGTAGACAGCAATTGAGGAAGACATCCAGTGTTCACTTCTGGCTTCCCCACAAATGCACACATACATGAACATGCACATTCCCCCATAGGCTAAAGTTTTTTTTTTTTTTTTTTTTTGAAAGGAAAAAAAAATTCTGACTATCATTATCACACATACACACACAGAAAATTATGAATCCTCTATTTTCACTAAATAAATAAAAACAACTAATCATGGCCAACACATTAGCTATACTTTCATAAAAAGGAAGACTTTTTGTAGCACTCTGCTTTAGGATGCAGGAGTTACAGGATCAAATCTCACAGAAGAAACCACATAGGAAAAGACAAGAGTGCTTTCGGTAATTGCACAATGTGTGGCGAACATATTTGTTTGGGAACTCATATAGTTTTACTTGCTGTTACTTCCCTGTTGTGTATAGGTAGGAGAAGTCAATCTGGAAATCACTGGTTTCTCAGTATGGATTTCAGTAAGTGATAAAGCCATAGTGGCGGTCAATGGAAAAAACAACAGTTCAGAAATATACTCCCACATACAGTCAACCAATTATGACAAAGTGCCATTCAATGGGAAAGTGTCTTAAAACACAGAAGCAAGAATAAACACCCTGTACACTGCCATATAGGAACCCTTGAATCTTATCCAATTTACCAGGCTAAACAAATAGTAATGTAGGCTGAAAAATATAAGTGATAATAACTATAAAAATTGTAAAACCACAGGGCAAATCTTTGTAACCTTGGATCAAACAAAAATGTCTTAGAAATGGTATCTAAAGTACAACTTAGCAATTAAAAACAAAAACAAAAAAACAACTCTGTGGCAGGTGTGGTAACACACACCTTTAATATTAGCAGGTAGAGGTAGGGGGATCTTCAGTTAGCCTGGTCTACATAGTAAGTTCCAAGCCAGTCAGGATTACATAGTGAGACCCTGCCTAAAATAAAAATAAATAGATAAATAAATGTGCAATTGGACCAAACCATTCTCAAAAATATTTGCTTTTTAAAATGTACCAGTAGAAAAATTTCAAAAACCACAAAATATACACCTACAGAGTATAGGACTACTATCAAAATACATAAAGAACTAAAATAGCAACACAGTTCAAATGAAAAAAGGTGGATAAAATTTGGAAGAGACTTCACCAAAGAAGTGCCATATGCCTAATAATAAGTATATCATTTACTGTGAGAATGCAGATTACAACCACAAAGAGATAACACATACCATTGCCCAGTTTAAAAGTAACAGAGTCGGGTGAAAAACAAAACCACTACCACCACCACAACAAAAATAATCCTCCCAAACCCCATTACTCTCACTTTTCAAGCAAGATGTTAAATCAGTATAGTCATGTTAGAAAACAATTAGAAAGTTTCTTACATTAACAAAAAAAAAAAAAAAAAAAAAAAAAAAGCCAATAAACAGTAATTTTGTTCCAAAATATTTATCTCAAAGTAAATACAAACACTCATCAGTGGGTGAGCAGATAAATAGAATGAAGCATATCATTTAATAGTGTTAACAGTGTATTAACCAGCCATGGAGTGCGCCACAGGGCCAGCCTACAGTGTGCATTCAAGTCAAATATGGCATTAAGGAAGTCTGAAGAGATTTCAAACTTTGTCATCTCACTTAAGATAACTGGTAGAAAACTCAAAAGAGCAGTGATAAGAAGCAGGCCATGGCTTGTTTAGGGACAGGGTAGGAATGGAAACTGACTACAAATGGACAAATGTTTGTTTTAAAAGCAGGCTGTGCTAGGTGCTGGTGACATAACTCATGCCTGTAAGCCTGATGACCTGAGTTCAAGCTCCAGAATCCATAGGTGGATGAGAATCAACTCCCACAAGTTGCCCTTTGACCTCTATGTGTGTGCACATGCTACACAAATACAAAAAAAAAAAAAAAAAAAAAAAAGTTAAGAAAACTCAAATGGAGCCCAGTTTCTTCTCAAATCTTCTACCTTTGAAGTATATAATGTAGAGAAATACAACTATAGCAATGGGATCCTGTCTTCTAAATATCTTCTTGGACTTACAAATGTATCTTATTTGTATTTCCAAACTCCATGCTACTTCGTGAAGACAGAAATATTTTTAGAAAGTCTGGATTAACTATAGTTAGACTAAATAGACAAACTGCCGCCTGGTTTATCAAAGGGCCACCACAGATTAACCAGGTCACCAGATATAAAACAGCCCCATGGACCCCATCCCTACAGGATTTCATCTTATTGAAAATCTTTTCTTTTCTTTAAATTTTTACTCAGTTTTCTACTACTGTAAATTTGAAGCAAATCACAGGAAAAGCTTTTACAAGTTTGTCTCAAAGTATAAAATATAACCATATAAATATGTCTGAAATACATTTTCCTGTTTTGGTTTTTCAAGACAGGGTTTCTCTGTGCAACCTTGGCTGTCCTGGAACTCACTCTATAGATCAGGCTGGTTACAAACTCACAGAGATCTTGCCTGCCTCTGCTTCCTAAGTGCTGGGATTAAAGGTGTGAACCACCACCACTGCTCAGCTTTAAAACACAATTTTTAAAAATCAAATAACTTAGCAAAAATTATGTAGTGTGCAAATTTCACTGTCTCATGACATGGCATTTCTAGTATCTCAACAGAGCCCCTAATGGTCTGTTTCATTTATTTATTTTTTGGTTTATATTCTGATGCCTCAGACTTGGAATCAGCTAGGGCAAGTCTAGAATAGATCAGCCAAATTACAGTTACACATTAACACAAATTGCTGCTGGAAGCTGAGTTCTGAGGCAGCCAGTTCAAAGCATCACTGCCAGCATGTATGAATTAACTTGTAAACTCATACACGAAATCAAAGGAAATAATCAAAGCTCCTCTACATCCTGTGCACACTGTATTAAGAGCTGGCAGTCTATTCCTCAGTGCATTTGGCATTGTGTGGCTGGAATTCACATATAATGTAGGACTGTCATTTCATGACTAATCACTGTATGGACAAAGACTGAATAAACTATACAGCTCCTAGCTGTTCAAGCTCTTCTCACACAAGTAGGGGCTCTACATGAAATTAGACCAGCACCTTTGGATGCCAGCGAGCAGCTAGTACTTTGTAAGAGGAAAGCTCCCATCATACCCTAACTAATAGATCCAGAGGGTCAAGAAGAACAGTTGGAAATTCTGTCAGGGAGTGCTGTCATCAAAGTTCCTTGATAGAGCAGTACTCATATCTTCCTTTCTTTGGTTCATATGTTCAGACTCAAAACTAGTTTATTTGCTACTTTCTTATTCTTCAAAAAGAAATCCTGTTTGGGAGGTTTTGGGGAATGCTCTCTCACCACCTTCATACATGTAGGCCTTTTACTTTACATTCTACATAGTATTTTCAAGTCCTGGCTTATTGAAAGAACAGAGAAGAAAACATGATACAAAAGCTACAGTTAATTTGAATAAGCAAATTTTGAATGAAAGTAGCAGACTACAAGGGACACAGTGATCAACTGAAGGGTTTTTGCATGCCTGCGGGAAGATTAGACAGCCAGGGCAGTTATCCAACCTGTGGCCAAATCATTAGGGTAAGGGGGACCACAAGGGAGGTTGGAGTCTGTGTTTAAGGACAAGGCTGGCCTCTTTAAAGGTAAAGAATATATAATGCTTGGGTTAAGAAGTATTAAGAAGATACAGGAAATCCCACAATGACAAACTGCTTATAATTGGAAAGAGGCTCAGGAAGTAATTCCTAGTACACACTCTGCAGCTCTAATGTTTCTTTAGAATGTAATTTTTCCCTTGTTCTTGAGTTGTTTTCAGTGAGAAGAGTTTAAACATTTGCTAATGACTTTCACTCACCACCTCATCCTTGCATCTTTTCTTAGTTTATTTACTTTTTTGTTTGTTTGAGGACATATTCGAATCTAGAGTTTACATGAGTTCATCTGTTCTTAAGAAGCACAGTATAACCCAGACAAAAACAGTAGTTGACATGGCAGCACCTTGACTCTCCCAGCTACAGAACTGTACCAACAGCTTACTGATCCATGCCTAAGGGACTTCGGAAGGAGGGGCAAGACCTACCTGGTAAGACAGATTTTAAAATTAATAAAAGGTAACTCTGTAGTGACCTTTGGAATTTGCCCTCACCTTTCTGAGCCTTTCAATTATGTTACTGACCTAAGACTGGATGTAAGAGCCTGCATGTGTACAGGTGAAAATACATGTAATGATGTGAGAGGTTATGCATATGACTATCCATAAATGGATGTTAGATTCTAGATTTTGCAGAAACTACATGCAAAATATTTTAATGCACATTTGTATTTTTTCATTAGGCTCTAATATTTTTATCAGATAAAAGAAAAACAGTTACAAATGACAGGCAGGATTAACCAGATCTTTTATAGCAGTAACCAAAGGAATGAAGATCACACAATACATGCATGCATACACACATGCACACACATACTTTTTTATTAAATTAACTACAGACTTTTTAATATTATCTATTTCTATCTATTTTATGGAGCCAGAGATGCTAGACAAAAAGAGAAAAGTAAAAAAGTTAAACATACACAGGACTAACAGAGGATAAGCATTGGAAATATGTTCAAATAATTCTAAACCTATAGGAAAAATTATAAAATACATTACCTTATTTTTTGGCTAATAGATTTAATAAACTGTTCTAGTGTCAAATTTGGTTTATAAAAAATTAAGACCAACTTTAAGGAGCTTCAATATTTACTTTTATTATTTATAAAAAAAATTAAGGTATCAGAGTGCAAATGTTGTACTGTGTCTGTGGTTTTGCACATTTATTCATGTGGTTTACATGATTTCAAGGTTATGAACATACTGTGTGTATCTTTACAATACCTGATAGATTCAGTTGCCTGACATTGACACATGAAATCTTAACGAATTCTGATGCTGTGTACTTGAGGATGCTGAAAAAACAACTTGTCTGTTATGACTCCTTGGTGAAGATTTCTGCAACAGGTGTCTTTCCTCAGCTGTCATGTATTAATGCCCCCTGCCTCCCATTAATTGAGTTTCTCATTGAAAAAAGTCTGGAAATAAAGTTCTCTTAAGTTTTAGTCAAATAAATAATTTAGCTACCCCTAATGCAGTTTTTTAAAAGGCCTTTATATAATTGGCAAAAGTTGAGCATGTTTTAACCCTTTTAATTTATAAAATAAAAATCAGGATTTAACAATTTTACAGTTAAAATTCACACACAGGTGAAAACCTCTCATGCATGTGAGCAGCTGCACCCAACTCATTGCACTGGGGCTGGCAGGTAGGATAGGCCCTGCCCTTGCCAAGTGTGGGAGGCAGTAGAAAAACAGCTTGATGTAAGAGGTCTAGATTTACATGTAGTAAGCCACACGCCAGTAAGTTCTCTGATAAATACACATAGTTTTAATAATCAGTATTGGATAGTGGATGAAAACATGCATTAGTTAGACTAAAAATGCCACACATTTGTTCACTATAAAATTTTTTTTTTTGGAAATTGAAAGTCTTGGTTCTTATTTTAGAATACACAATAATCAGGAGGATACATGATGGGGAGCCAGTTTTCAGTAAAAGATGCACAATGGGTCCATCCAAGTAATTTCATCAGCTATAATAAAAGCAGAGTATTATAAAGGAGATGGCAGTTCAAAGACCAAAATTCAGAATAATTTAGTAATAATACAGTAGCAACACACAGAGAGGACCTTCCTTCTATTGCCTATCATCCATTAATCCATCCACCCACTGCTGTCCTTCCTAACAACCAATCCTTTCAGGAGCATAAGAAAACAGAAACAATGACAAGAACTCTACAAAGAGTTCTCTTAATGAAGTCAAGATCCAAAGGATTTTAAACTCTCTTTACCATTTGGACTGACTGATGAAGGTAGACAGAAAACGAGTTGGCAATAAAATAATTTCTTTTTATATCTCAAACTAATTCTTGGAGAAAGTTCCAACTAATTTTCCTTAGCACGTGTGACATATGATAAATTAATGAAGATGGAAAAATTAAAATGTAAACTCCACAAATCAAACCATCTTAGAACCAAGCCAGCATACATTGAGAAGGAACACTTCTTTCCAAAAGAAAACATTGTCTTCTAACTAGTGAAAGTAATTTATTCATTTTTGACCTTGCTGAAAACATTCAAGGCTGATAGATCTCTGAACAGCAGTGAGAATGGTTTATTAATTTGGATGCTACCAGTGGCCTTTTATGCATTTATTATAGGGTAAATATGGTTTTAGTAATGGTAACAAATGGCCACAATAAAATACATAATGCTTTATAATGAGCACAGGTGTTTTTCCCCACATAGTGTTCTTGTCCCTATGCAACATGGATATGATACAGTTTAATCCAGACATCACTTACTTGAATACAATTTTTCCAGTTTTCCTTTGTTGGTTTTTCTTCTACAAGTTTAGTTGCAAACTTAAGGCCTCTCCCATACATCTTATTTACTAATGCATGCTTGTATGCAAATGTCAAAACCTATAAAACAAAATAAAAATTATCAATGGAGTATTATATTTTAAGGCATATAACTTTAACAATGAAATAAGGCTTTCGCAGAAGTATAGCATTTTGTGTGTGTAGGTATACATGTGTATGTAGAGGTCAGATGTCAAGACAGTGTGTCTTTCTCAGTTTCTCTGTATCTTATTAAGGCTGACTTGGTTAGACTACTAGGCCGACAGATCATCCTGCTTTTGCTACTCCAGCTCTGGAATTAAGGGTGCATATTATGGTACTTGCTTTTTTTTTTACACTGGTGCCAGGGATTGAACTCAGGTCCTCATACTTGTGTGGCATGTAATTTACTGACTGAGCCATCTTTTCAGCCCATGAAGTCTATAGCTTTTAAGTGGAATAGGTTATATCAGGGGGAAAAAATAGTATCTTTTAAGGACAAGTAATTACATAAAAGAGTATAGGGAGTAAATAATAAGTCATAAGCAACTAAAACCCACTTTAAATCATTTCTTTGTGCAAAATAAACCACAGAGATCGTATTACAGAAAACAGAGTAGAAATAAAAATGTCCACTACAAATCACTAAAATTATAAAGGATAAGTTTTATATAAAACATTCTTCTTCTGTATACTGATCTGTCAGTATACAGTTGCTTGAACTGTGGAATGTGGGAACCATTCTCAAAGAAAGAAATTCTGTTACACTGATTTGTTCTTTAGGGCCAAGCCAAGCACTAAAAAATGTTTAATTAACAGCTCAAACAGGCCAGTATTCTCATCAGTGCCCTTGGTCATCAGTGTCACTGTGAAGACAGAAGTGTGCCTAACAATCTCACTGTCATGGTGACAAGAGTTATCACCCTGTTACATTTCTCAAAGGCAGACACTAGATTCTTGTTATCTTCATGTTTTCAGTAGGAAGTGGTGTTGCCCGCACTAGAGACAATACATATATAACACCATTTTTAGAACCCAAATCTAAATTAAAAACAAACAAACAAACAAACAAAAAAACCTTTGCTTTTCCAAAAACTGTGATATGTAGAAGTTAGAGTTTTAAGGAAAATGAAGTGATATCTAAACAACTAAAGAGCATAAAAATATGTAGGAAGGAAGGACAGTTTTTTGGCTTCATATATACCCATCTTAAAAGGCTACTATGTATGTCCTCCAAATGTTCTCGAAATGATTGTTAAACACTTTAACTCAGGTAGGATAAATGATGAAAGGCACTTGGGCTAAATGTATCTACTAGAAGTGGAGCCTTATCTTCTTCCTTTTCAGCAGGCAGAAGACAAGCAGGCCTGAGAGATCTACCAAGACCAACAGCAGATGGGCAAATTACCTTAGTGTCAAAAAGATCTGTCCACTTTGTAGTTTCCCAAAAGGTTTCTGACAGAGTCTCCAAGGTACTTTCTCCTTCCTCTTCCTTTCCTTCTGCATCTCCAGCTGCTGCCCCATCATGAGGCTGTATGTGAAGAAGGTGGTCTGCCAGAGCACATCCTTTCCTGCACAGGGCGTCTACCAGTGTGGATTTCTGCTTGTCCATATCACTGGAGAGGAAATAAAGTTTTTTCACATGTCACTTAAAGGTTTTCCAAGGGATGGTCTTATTTGAGTACATGCAATCTTTCTCTCAAAGACTTAGCATGCATAAATTTTGTACATACATTTGTGTTACATATCCAATGAGATCCTTATTAATAAGCATCATAAGTTACTGCAGTACACACAGATAAAATTAGCAGAATGCCATAGGAACAGGGTTGAAAGACTATTCGGTAGTTGTTCTGTCAGCTACACAACTTTTAATAAGGGCAGTATCTTTTAAACCTTTATATTAAGAAACATAGCAATTATATACTCATCTACATGTAATATACAGAAAGACAAGGTTGATTTATACATAATATCATGTTCACGACTGCAAAAATCAAGCGAATATCAAATTTATTCTGAATGCATTAATACCTGCTTTAGCACTTTAGTGTAGACATTCATTTACAGTCAAAGCAATTCTATGGGGCCAGTAAGATGGCACAGTGATGTCCTGAATCCATAATGGGAACCAACACAGTGAAGGAGAGAACTTATTCCTTTTAAGTTATCCTCTGACCTCCACAGGTACACCATGACAGTGAACATACACATCACAAAATAAACCCAAACCCAATTCCATGAATAAGATACTCCTATTTTGCACAGGTGGAAACTGAAGCTCAGAGATTCAGGACTTGATCAGGACCTCTAGTTAGGAATAGTAGTTGTAGGATTCTAAGTTTAGCAGTCTGGCTCTACAATTATGCTCAGTGGTCCATGCTGGCAATAGTCACCCATCACTATTTAGCACTTGTAACCTCCACTCCAAGGAAAGTTACTTAGTTTATTTGAGGCATTACATCCAATTCATGTCAGGGATATATGAAAACAATAAAGGCTTAAAAGTGGTGAGACAATGACCACAAGGTAATTTGGCTATGGATAATCTGTTTAACAAGAAGACTAACTCTGAAGGACCCATAGTAAAATGTGTAATGTGTAAAATCTAATGAGACTGACAACAATCAGGACATAATTACCCATTTAACAACCTGGACCTCTGGGGCTTATTAGTTCTGCAAATTGAAAGGGAGCTACTAACTTGAACAGCTTCCTGGAAGAATAAAGGGGGCATAAAATGCAAGTGCTAACATACTGTTCCAGACTAGGATGTCCTTAGAGGCTTCCAAGCCCAAATGATTCTGTGAGTTCACCTAAGAAGATATCTTCAACATTATCTGCACCAAAAATGAAGCTATGCCTATAACACACCTAACTGTCCTAAGGTGTCACTAGACTGGCTTGATAGGTAGCTGCATTCCACAGAGCTACATCCCCATCTACTCCTTTCAATTGTCAGCCTGAATCAGGATGAGGCAGCAATGCTCTCTTCCCACCTCTCAAATTCAGGTCACCTGCTTATTCTATATTCTTTGTGGCAACAGCTTTACTCACCAAGTTCAGCACTTGGCCTGTACCTTGACAGATAAATACACTCAGAATTTGATGGACCACAGGACACCACACTCATCTGTTCATTTAATCACATAATGCTTGGCAAAACTCTTCTTCCAGTTCCAAGTTTTAAATATTTTGAGGAGTTTCTCAACATAAACTCCACATTCCAGGCTATGGGGTCCTTCTCAATTTAATTCTAATATCTGCAACTTTCTGACGCCAGAGAGTGCTTCGCTACTTTCCCATCTGGGCTACAGGATGACCTGAATTCCACTAGTCATCAAGAGCATCAAAGTTTTAAAGAAGTAACCTTCTTTCTATAGGTGGAAGTGCCTAGATTCTGCTTTAGCTATTACAGACTAAGAACAGCAGACTTTGCAGTCCCCTCTTGAAGCATCTACTTTCCTGCCCCTTTACTGCACTGTTCTTCCATCACTTTTCACATGCCTGGTACCACTGCTTTCTGCTTTAGGGCAGCTCTAAGGGGTACAACCATTAACTCCAGCTTGTGAAGGAGACAACTGCTTGGGAACAGACTGAGTCAATGAGGGCAGTTATCACCCATGCCAAACTCAACTGACTGGTTCCAACTGTCAAGGAAGGCTTTGGTGGGGGGTGCACAATTCAGAAGGAAGCACATAGGTGCTCTATGCTTGCCAGGAATGGATTAAGTTACTAGCAGGATTCTTTTCTGAAAGTTTTGACTTCTTTTGATGCAACAGTCTAAATTTCATGTATATGGAAATAATCAGTTCCTCTTTCCTACCTTAGTACTGACCTGTTCAGGCTGAACACCATGTTAAACTATGAAGCTATTCAGAATACAGTCAAGTTTTCTTCCTATAGGCTTTTAAAATATTAAAAATATTTACTATATTTCATCCTGTCTGGTAATTTTTTTGTTGTTATTGTTTTTTTGTTTTTTTTATTGAGACAGGGTTTCACTATATAGACCAGGTTTGCCTTGAGCTCACAGAGATCTAACTGCATTTGCCTCCTGAGTGTTGGGACTAAAGATATACACCCATCTCTGTCTTCTAATGTAATCTTTTGCATTAGATTAAGTTTTGTAAATTGGGAAGTCTTGTTAATTTCTTTAAGTTCTTATGATAATTTACATATCCTTACTCAATAAATATCTTTCTGAATGAAAACTGGTTATTTCATTGTAGTTATCACAACTACATTTTAGGAATGATTTGAATCCTGTATTTTAATGCCTAGACAAGAAACTAAAATTCTTATCACATTACCTAGAAAATGCTAGTATCATTTTCAAGATCATAAAACAGCAATTCTGTCTCTGGCTCTCTCTCTTTCGAGACAGGGTCTCACTATGTAGACCTGGCTGGCCTTAACTCAAGAGATATCCACATGCGTCTGCCTCTGCATGATGGGAATAAAGGCATGTGCCAATACATGTCTGGCCAAGAAATCATGCTGTTTCTTTCTTTCTTCTTTTATAAAACAAAAGTGACTTTTAAAAACACAACTTTACATGGAAGAGACAAACCCTGGCTTTAAGGAAGAAGAACTACAATGCACACTAGCCTAACAACAAACCAGTATCTAGGCAAAAGCAGCAATATGCAAGCTATGCCTTTTCACTGGGTCCAGTTTTGAAGGAGAGAGAGACCGAGAAAGTAGTGTTTTTTTCAGAAGGTCAGTCCTGGAGAAGGGAATCGCCTGACACAGAAGAGGCACAGAGGCAAGCATAATACCTAGGTAGCTTATATGTTTCCCTTTGAGATAAAAATTAGTCCTGCTCATCTTCTCAAGAAAAGGGATGTGGGATGTGGTAGCACATGCCTTTAATCCCAGCACACAGGAAGCAGAGGCAGGCCTGTGAGTTCAAGGCCGGCCTGGTATACAAAGTGAGTTCCAGAATAGTTTGGGCAAATCACAGAGAAACCCTGTCTCAGCGACCCCCTCTAACCAAAAAGGGGAAAAACAAACAAACAAACAAACAAACAAACAAAAAAACCCCAACAGGCTGTGGTAGTACACTCCTTTGATCCTAGCACTTGGGAGGCAGAGGCAAGTGGATCTCTGAGTATAAGGCCAGCCTGCTACACAGAGAAGACCTGTCTCAAAAACAAAACAAAAAGAAAACCAGAGGCTTTGGAGGAAGATCTTGGTATGAATCATGCTGCTTTTTCCACTTCCTAGCACAGCACTATAGGCAAGCCATTCATCCTCTGTAAGCTTCACTTTCCTCTTTTCTAAGAGCTAGGCAGAAATGATTCTATTTTACAGTATCTGCAATACTAAAGATAAATGAGACCATGCATCTAAAGTACCCAAAATGCCCTGTACATAATCATCATTTAATGAACAGCAACACACTTTCTAATATTACTAAAATAGAAGTCAAATGCTAATGTTTTAAAAATCATACTACTGGAAAGAAAGGGTACTATTAAGCACGAACTACCCACCTATTTTAATAAATTTTATTCCACTTGAAAACTACTGCTTTCATGATTCCTAAAACTGTAACATAACTATTGACTAAAATGTAATGCCAAGAGTTCTAGCAGTTTTGCATTTAATATGTTATGTAGAAAAACATAGTGACTGATGAGAATTTTAAAGAAAATTATAGTTCTTTTAGGTAGTCAAAATAGTTCTGGTTTACTAGCTACAACTATAAAACAATTAGGATATTTATAACCTCATAAGTTAATGAGTCCAAAACCATACAATATAAGAAAAGCATGCCTTTGGGAGAGTTAGTACCAGGTGACGACAGTGGGAGTTCACAGAAGAGGCTGAGTCACAGCAGCACCTGAAGCTCCTTCATGCACACAGAGCATCAAGCTTTATAAAACCCAAACTGTAAACCCTCCTCTGTATTTCTCTCCAATATTAAAGACAAATGTCCTCCATAAAATTGAAGTTGACAAAAATCTTTAACCTCATTTTATCTCTTCATAAGGCATTACAAACTAGATTCTATGTTTTTTTTTTTTTATATTACTGGTCAATAAATAACTTAGAAGTGAATTCATGAGGTAACATCTTCTCTACCTACCTAGTTCATATAACATCCAAGGGGTGCCACTGCTTGACCAAAACAATGAAGATAGTCTACCTAGACAGGACCAAGTGGTGATGAAGGCAAACTATTTTTCGGGTTGTGTTTTAATAGCCTGAAGAAAATTATTACAAAATTTCTGCAGGAGTATGAAAACACTGTCAATCCTGATTGTATGTATATTACAACAGAAAAAAAAAAAATCCTCAACACTAGTCCCTAATTTTTAAGCAAATAACTAAGAAATGAGATGCAAGAAAGATTATTTACTGGTTAGGTACTTTTTTATAGTAGCTGCATCAGGCCTGGGGTCAGTCTTCATTGCAATGTAAACTGCTAGGGCAGTTTGATCAATGTGAGAAATAACAGCATTGGCAGCGTCGACGATCTCATTAAGTCTTTTCATTCGTTCCTGGGTAGGAAATAAGGAGTGTATCAGTCAGTGCATTAAAGCATTTTCATTTCTACTGTCCCAGCCATGAGACTGTAAGGGCCTTACAGGGCTAGAGCTCTGGGCTATCTTTTAATCTGACTTTTACAATTGCAGTATCCTTGGAAAGGGATTCAGATGTGACAATTTCTAACTGACACTATATAGTTCAAAACTGAAAATAAAACAAATATATAAAGTTCACCAAAATGTGGGGTTTTTAAGCAAGGAAAATTGCATCTATCATATCATTGATTTTAGAGATAACTATCTCTATTTTATTCCATGCCATATGAAAAAAAAAAGGGAAAAAAAAATCCCCAAACCCTCATTCACAAGCAAATTCTTTCTAAACAATCACTTAAGTGAGAAAGATAAGATTAAAACAAAGATTATAATCAAGATTCTAACCAGGACCACCATGGATGGCTTACTTAGTAGTGGTTTTCTCTTTTTGTCAAACTGTTTTTGAAAGGCCTCCTTTAAATACTCCATTTTAGTTCACTCCAAACCTTCATGAGTTTTAACTGACCATAGCTGGCATGCTCCTACTGCCACTAATAGTAATAACAGATGGCCCATGGCCCATGTTAGACAATCTGGAATTATAAAATCTTTGGTAGCAAAGTAGTTACTGAGGTATTTAGCTTTCCAGCTGTCCAGGACAACTCATCCTTTAGATTAGGACTAAAAATCAGATATTATGCTTTTTCCGATATTACAATTTTACTAACCAATCAAGTCTCATGGTTTCTACAGATAAATGCTTCCATCATTACTAATACTGAACTCAGTAGTGGCCAACTCTTATAACTATCTTAACAACATATCCAATTGCAGGAGACAGATTTTCAGTTGACAGGAAAGGAAGACAGACAGATGCACCTTTACTCAAAAAAATAGACTTTAGCTACTACTATACAAAATCAAATTATTTTAAAAAATGAGTATATTCAACCTTTTCAGCATCCAATTGGTGAAGCCGTGCAACATACAGAGGAAGGTAAGCAGGGTACGTTTCTTTCAATTCATTGTAAATGTCACTAGAATCGAGCCTAAGAGAGACAAATTAGTGATTTTTAATTAAAAGCAAGTTTCTATTAAAAAGAATTTTAAATATTGCTTCACAGTATATTAAAATATTTTATAATTATTAATAAGGACTAGTTACAGATAATATAACTATCTGAAAATTACTTAAGAATTCTATAAAATGTCCAGATGAAAGTAGACATCAACATGGGTTGGAGATATGGCTCAGTTGTTAAGAACTCAATCTGATCTTGTTTCTAATACCATGTTAGGCAGTTCACAATTGCCTGAAATACAAGCTCCCAGATACACAATACCTTCTGGTCACCATGGGCACTACTACACTCATGCACAAATCCACTTCCACACATAAATATACATATAACTATAGATAATATCTTTAAAATAAAGCCTCAATTGCTTGCTTACTTATTAAAAATGAGGGCAAGATTTCTCTTAAAAAGAAGAAAAAAAATGCACTTCATAAAAAAGCTCTGTAACTGTCTAAAAATTCCAAACTTTAATGAAAATTTTAAAGTCTTAAATGAAAAGATATACTATGCTCCTAAATGGGGAACCTCCATAAAGCTATGCCAATTGTTCCTGGTTATATTTATCAAGATAAAAACAATCCAAATTAACACCCAAGTGGTAAATAAGTAATTAGCACTATAGATAAATCATATCAGGAGATTCATTTAAAATATTCAGAATTTCACAGAATTTGAAAGAAGATTAACAAAAAATTTTTATAGTTAAATGTCTCATTTAAATCCATTTACTTTAACTAATCTTAAGTCCTTCAACTTAGTACAAATAACAAATCAAAGCCTGCTTTCTTCTTTTCTTCCCCCCAACAATTAACCAAAAGGAAAGCCAGTATTTTTACTTTATGTTTAAGTCAATTACAACTTAATTATACTTGCCCCCACTCTCCAAGAATTATTTCAAGTTTCCATAAAGAGAACAAGAGACCTCTACGAATTCTTTGGATTTCTTCTTAAACACTTTCTGGATCAACATCCTTTTCAATTTTTTTCTTCTTTTGTTTCTGAACATCCATTCTCATCTAGCTTTGTGAACGTTATGCTTAGTTCTCTAATACCATTTGCATCAGCTACATTAAATCTTATATGTTCCACTAGACGGCAAATTCACATTTCAAAAACAAAACTAAGGGCATGAGAGATAGATTAGGGTTAAAGTGCATACTGCTTGACAGATGATCTGAGAACAGTTTCCAGCACCCCTGTCTGCTGTCCTCTTCATTCATGTGCATACAATATAACTAATCTATTTTAGCTGGACATTTCAATGGGTTTAGAACACACACACACTTAAAAACATTTCCCAAACAAGTTAATTTAAAAAGATTTTCCAAACAAAAAGAAACTAAATCATCTAGTTATCAAAACCTTCACTGAAACTCTGTATTTCCCAACCCTAAGTAATCATTAATCTACTTCTGTCACTATAGAGTTCTCTAGGCTGGAAACTTTATAATGAACATAATCATTTAAGATGTGGTCTTTTGTGACCAGCTACTTTCATTTAGCATAATGTTTTTAAGTTGTAACATATTTTTAAATATCTGAATAGTGTTCTTGTATGGATGGATATAATTTATTATTCACTAGTTATTAAACATAGGTTATTCCTACACTTTGACAATGAATAATATTTCTGAAAATTTCTAAGTACAAGTTTATATATACACACACACATATGTATATATTATCTTCAGTATGTATGGAAGTTAAATTGAGGAGCAATATACTAATGAAAACAATTTCAGAAAAATCTGATGTCAAGGGTTCTGTAGACATATGAATCTGGAAAAAATAGGCTAATCAGTGTAGTCTCTGAGACACTCCTGAGACATTATAAAGAGATGTATGAGGCTTCTGTTACAGAAAGCTTTAAGTTCAAGATCTCTCTAAAATGGGAAACACAGTATAATATATACATGATAGTATATACTTAAACTGGTAGCATGGTTATTTGCTAAGTAATATGTGGTATACATAACTGATGTGTTATACTTTCACAGTGGCAATACTGCAGCTTTATAATAGCACCACCATAAACAATTTAACATTATGGGGATTCTAAACATCATCAGGTTTCAGATCTAGTAAACTCATGGGCTAACTGTTCTGAACACCATCTGTGGCTGATTGAAATCCTACATGGTGAACATGTGACAGCTCTGTTATAACATTTCTTTGCCTTTACTGTTTTTAGAGTTCACTAAGCAATCTAGGTGTATACATTTATGTTTCACAATAAATTGGAGGGGTTTTAGTCATTATTTCTTTAACCATTTTCTCAGCTTTCTCTCCTTCTCTCATTACACCATTATATATATACTTTAGAATACCCAGAGGTCCCATATTTCTCTGAGGATCTGTTGCACTTTTATAACCCCACCACCCTCCTTCACTGTTCTGGAGAAGACCTGGGTTTAAATCTATATATCTTTTGACTCAAATGAAGTGAGTTCTTTGAAGACATTAGGAGCGGTCATTTTTTAAAAACTTTCCTGTCTCATCAACCTCACTTTTTAAAATTTAATTTTAACATCCAATCCCAGTTCCCTACCCCTCCTCTCCTCCTGCTATATCCTCCTTTCCCCCCACCCCACCCTTCATCTGCACCTCAGAGAGGATAAGGCCTCCTCTAAGAACTCAACTAATCTGCCCCATCATCTTGTTGAGACAAAACCAAGTGTTCACCATGTCTAGGCTGAGAAAGATACACAAAGTCAGTTTATACATTATAGTTAGATCTTGGTCCCACTGTCAGTGGCCCCAAGCCACACCACTGTCACCTGTATTCAGGGGACCTAGATCAGTTCTATGCCAATTCCCCAATATGGAGTCCAGTGATCTCTCACTAGCTTGGATCAGCTGATTCTGTGGGTTTCCCCATCATGGTCTTGATTCCATTGTTCATATTATTGCTCCCTCCTCACTTCGATTGTACTCCAGGAGGTTGGTCAAATGCTTAGGTGTAGATTTCTATCTCTGCAATTATTTTCATCTGTTTCTAGAAGAGGGATCTAGCTTCTCTGGGGCTATGGACTGTAGGTTAGTTATACTCTGCTTTACATCTGGTAGTCACTTAGGAGTGAGTACACATTATATTTGTCTTTTTGGGTCTTGGTTACCTCATTTAGGATGTTTGCTTGTTTTTTTTCTATTTCTGTCCATTTGCCTGCAAATCAAAAGATGTCACTGTTTCTTACCACTGACTAGTACTCCATTGAGGAATGTACATTCACTTTACCCATTCTTTAGTTGGGAGGCATCTAGGTTGTTTCCCAATTCTGGCTATTACAAATACTGTTGCTATGAATAAAGTTGAGCACTTTGGTGTGAATATGCTTCTTTTACGTATATACCCAAAAGTGGTATTGTAGAGTCTTGAGGTAAACTGATTCCTATTTTTCTGAGAAATTGCCATACTGATTTTCATAGCAGCTGTCCAAGTTTGCACTCCCACCAGCAATGGAGGAGTGTTTCCTCTACTCCACATCCAGTCCACCATAAGATGCCATCAGTATTTTTGATCTTAGCCATTCTGATCAGATTAAGATGGTATCTCAGAGTTGTTTTGATCTGCATTTCCCTGATGATTAAGGGTGTTGAGCATTTCCTTAAGTGTCTTTTGGCCATTTGAGATTCTTCTGTTGAGAATATTCTATTTAGACCTATATCCCACTTTTTAATTGGATTATTTTATAGTTTTATGTCTAGTTTCTTGAGTTTCTTGTATATTTTGGAGATCAGCCCTTTGTCAGATGTGGCGTTGGTGAAGATCTTTTCCCATTGTGTAGGGAGCTGATTTGTCTTGTTGACCTTGTCCTTTGTTTTACAAGAAGCTTCTCAGTTTCAGGAGGTCCCATTTATTAATTGTTGCTCTCAGTGTCTATGCTATTTCACCAACATAATTTTTCAGCCTGCATTCTGGAAGAGGTGGCAGGAAAACAGCATGCTTTTCTCTAAATGACACCTATACCATCTTCATGGATGAGAATCCTTTAAGTTTTTATTTATGGGTGAGCAAGTATTTGTGTGGATGTCTGTCACTTGTACTCAGGTGCCCACAGACCAGAAAAGGGTGTTAAATTAAAAAAAAAAAAAAAAAAAAATGCTCTCAAGTTGGAGTTCCAGATAGTTGTGAGCTGGATGTTATGTCATGGATGTTAGGATTCACACTTGGGTCCTTTGGAAGAGAAGCACGTGCTGTTAACTCCTAAGCTTGCTCTCCAGTCCATGAGCTGAGAACTTTTAATGGAGGGAGGCCACATGAGTTCTTTAAGATGAAACTAAGCCCATAGCAATCAATAAGAATATGTTCAGGATAAGAAATGGTACAGTGATTTTATCTTACCACAGGAGATAAGGCACTTTTCTTACACAAATGTGAGTGTACACGTGTGTAAAGAGCCACAGTTCAATCTTAGAACAATTTCTCAGGCACCAGGTACCTTTTGAGAAAAGTGTCTCACCGAATTTGAGACTTGCTGATTAGGCTAGGTCATCTGGCTGGTAAGCTCCAAGAATACACCCATCTCCACCTCCTCAGTGCTAACATTACAAGCATGTGCCACTGTGCCTGTTTTTGTTTGTTTGTTTAATGTGGGTTCTGAGGACTGAACTCAGGTTTCTCATGCTTGTGAAGTAAGTACTTTATTGAGCTATCTTTCTCACCTACCATATTTTACAAATATTACTGATTAGAAGCTTCTCTGTTTGCATTTGCCATTAGAACCACTTCCAGAGGTTTTAAGTTTTTTTCTTTTTAAACATAAATTTTCACCAGTTCACTGGCTGGCATACTAAGGAACTGACTTCTCAGGCTCTCACGAGAGAAGGTAATATTTGCAACTCTGGAGAAATTGTATTGTGTGCTAGTTATAACATCCTAAATTGGCCAAAGGCAGACATGGTTGACTGACATCTGATAAGATACCCTCAGTTTAGACAGGACAGTATATATGAATATGGACTGATGGTTTAACCCTCGTAAATTCTATTCACATTATAAAGGCTTTTGTTCCCTCTTAGGCCACATATCCACAAGGATCTACACAAAATTTCTGCTAATGAGGATGCCTCCAGAAAAACAGCAAAGAAAGAAACAATAGAAAGAAAACAAATCACACAGAATAAAGTAAAGCCAAGGAATAAACTGAAGGAAAACAGTAATAAGTAAGCTTTCATGTTAAAAAGTTTAAACTGGTAATAAAAGTCTAGCATTCTAATGAAGAATGGGCAAAGGACATATTCAACTAAAACAGTAGCTAGTATCTAAACAGGTCAACTGCCAACAATAGCAGCCTTTTCCAAAACATCTAGATATTACATTCACAGCAGAAACCAATTTGAGAAACATATTAAGATAACTTTTAAAGACACCTAAACTAATAACCAGACTATACTATCTGACAGAAATTTAAAAAATATCTCTACTATGCTGGCTATGCTGGTACAATGATGGGAGATGTCATTCTGTAAATGCTTCTCTTATTGGTTAATGAATAAAGCACTGTTGGCAAATAGGAAGGCAAGATAGGCGGGACTAGGAGACAAGGAAGATTCTGGGACATGTAGTAGAGGAGAGTCAAGATGTAGGGACTTGAGAGGAAGAGGTCCGGACCCCCTCTCTGGTAAAGTAAGACCATGTTGAAACAGATTAATAAAAATAGGTTAAAATTTAAAACAGAGCTAGCCAATAAGAAATGCTAGTAACAGGCCAACAGCTTTTTATCAATGTAGCGTCTCTGTGTGTTATTTGGGGATGATGGGACTGTGGAACCAGGCTGGCAGGAAAACTGCTAGTAACAATATAAGACTATTATTCCAGCCTTTGGGAGGTGGAGGAAGGATGATCAGGAATTCAAGGGCATTCTTGTTCAACTAGAGAACTGAGACCAGCCTAGTTATATGAAACACTGTCTCAAAAAATTAAAACCAAACAAACAGACAAGAAAACAAAGTTAAAACTGTATGTATAAAAGGGGTAATCACAAAATTATAGAGAAAAATCTATAAATACATATTCTAAATAACTAAATATATTATACTGTATTCATAGGACAAATTATAGTCACTAAAAATGGAACTTTTAACTATTAAATGACACAGGAAGTGCCCAACAACAAAATTAACTGGAAAAATAAGATACATAACCATTCACACTGTTAAATGCTCAGAGAGACCAGATAATAAAGGCAATGATGATTTCTGGAGAGAAGAAAAAGTATTTTCTCTTTTACAGCCTCCAATAAAATTAATTATAAATTTAGGAAAAAGTTTAAAAACCTGCAACTCTACCATCCAGTCAATAGTTAGTAAAGTCTAAACTTATACACACAAAAGTATTAATTGAAAAAAGACTCAGAGGTTTGGAATCCACTGAAAACAACCTACTTCGTCATCCACTGAATTTTAAGATCTCTCAATGCTTCAGTAAACTCTTCTTTCAGATCTTTCTCTTTTTCTGAATCTTTTTCTTTATCTTTGCTGCCATTCTTCGTCTTTGTTGGTGGAGGAATTAGATAGTAATGAACAGGGATCACATCCTAGGAAGGTGAAAGAAAGCCTTAGGTTCATATACTTCATTTCATGCACTTTAAAATCATTGTAATAGCTGAGAATATTGTAATATGGGTTGTGCCTGAGTTGTATTACTCCATATTCCAGATCTGAAGAGTCAAAAAACATCAAAAATACCAATCCAAAATTACTGGATTCCCACTGCCCTCCCATCCAAACTTTAAAAGCTTTTATCCATCCCTCTAAAACAAAAGAGGTTAAGAACTTTTCTCTATGAGTGTCTTTAGCATTTTTAGTTGCACTTGACACAATAAGTGTATCCTGTCCTTTCACAATTAAATCTGAACAAAGGAGTAAACAAGTTAAAACTAAAAAGACAAAATACAGTGGAAATGGCAGTGAATCTAAATGACAAACATGAATGAATCTGAATAACCTAACTGAAGAGAGGAAGAAGTATCCTTTTGCCCAGAAATTAGCATTTGGAGAGGAATTGAACAAGTAACAAAAATCTGATCCAGTGTGTGGAAGAAGTTATGTAAAGTGATAAAAGTGGAATACAAACATGCTGAGTAGAGCTTGGTGGGGCATGGCAAAAAAAAATGTAGATACTATTTTACATATATAAAGAAGTTTATCAAATATCTTGAGCAAGGCAGTGGTTAAAGACTTTTTGCTTTTTAATGACTTGATGTATTAAAGTTTGGGCTTCTATTTTTATTTTTATAACTCTTGATGATATAAGTCTTGGGAACAGACCATAGAAGGGAAAAACAGAAGTAAACAAATCAGAAAACAAGCCTAGGAATCCCTACATTGTGTGGAACTAAATAACAGACTGTGGAAACAAGAGAAAATGAATATATTTGAAATATTCTTTGAAGGCAGAGCTAACGTTTCCCAATAATACTTAAAGCCAGGATATGGATAACATCAGAAGGGATAAGAGACTGGAAGAGAGTAGATGTGGTACTCCTGTTTTGCCCAAAGATGCACTAAGACTGGGACAAACAAAAGGAATTTGGGGTTTTGAAAACCTTGAAGAAGACCATGAAGAATGAAATAACAGCAGTGGCAAGATTAAGTGAGACAGTGAAGGGGCTTGTTGCTGAGCATGATGACCTGAATTTGCTAGATGTATACACACACACACGCACACACACACACACACACACACACACACACACACACACACACACACACAGAGAGAGAGAGAGAGAGAGAGAGAGAGAGAGAGAGAGAGAGAACAGGGTGATAAACCTACAGTTTTTTGAGGAAGTTCTACTTTGAAGATAGAGAAATATGGCCTAAGTTTATCTATAATATATAAATCTATCCTACAGAAACACACTATTTGGGAAATGGCTAAACTTAGTTTTTGGCAAGGAACTGATTGTCCTCAATTGAGTCATTATTTACTAAGTCCACTTTTCAAATTCTATTTTCAGGTTTATACTGAACTGCTGCTAAGTTAATATCTACACTCACCTCAAGTTTCTAACACTGAAAAAAAAAAAAAATGTATCTTACCAAAAGCACATATACTGCCCTCTCACATTTTTCAGAAATAACACGAGTCAAAAGTATTTCAAAATCCTACTCCCTCAAACAGAACTTTTAGATGTATAAATACTATGTCAACACATCAATTTTAACAACATTCTGACACTCAGAATTCTGGGGTATATAGTGATATAACAGTGTATGAGGAGTTACTGCTTTAGCACTACTGTCACTTCAACACAAAATATTAACTACTATCTCTCCATGACTCATTTAAATCACAGAAAAACAGAAAGGAGGAAGCCACAGATATCCACCTGCAGTTCTCTGTTATGCTTGAGTTAAGGGAGCCAGAGCCAAGGTACAAGGGCTCACACAAGGTCTATAGTTGGGCTTGCTCCTTTAGGACCCTGCAACCTATCCATCCATCCCTTTTCCCTCAACACTACCCCTGCTTTTATTTTTGAGACCAGTCTTGCAATGGGAGTAAGGCTAGCTCTGTGTTCAACCCCTGACAATGCTGGAATTGTGGGCATGCTCCACCATGCTCAGGTTTCTTCTCCATTGCTTGAAGGTCACTTTCCTGGGTGGGCATTGCCCTGGATAAAGCAAAAAGGAATTTGAAAAACCTGAGCCAAAGCCCTAGCACCAAATTTTCACTGAAACAGCTTCAGTGTTGTGTGTTATAGCACAACTGTCTAAAAAGTAAGGAAGGATAAAAGGAGTCTCCAATATTTACTTATGTAAATATGGTTATAATGCCTTTGGAATCATGTTCTTCAACACTCAAGTTCTTCTATGTGTTACACATACTGTAGATCACACTTGCCTGACAGTCTGATTTATTCTAACAGCAATGCACACCCCTTTAGCTTTCCCAGGCTAGAAAGAAGGAAATACTTCCAGGTAGAAACCCTGTTTCAGAAGGCAATGTCACCTCTGAATTTCAAAGGTAAGGCATTTTGTATTACTCTTTTAGTATAGAAGACAGAAAATAGAATTTAATATGAGTATATGTTAATGTACTATAAACAATACCTATAAAATAAGAAACCCTATTACAGAAAACTTAAACTATCACTAAAAAATGTTAGAGTAGAAAATTTATGATTTTAGAAAAAAAAAATCAATAACCGGTACAATTAAAATGTTAGTAAAATCCCATAGAATACTTCATGACAAGAATTTCCTATTATTAAAATTATAAAGGCAGTAATTTAAAACCCTAATAAAAGGAAAATGAGGTTGTTTTCATTTGTGTCACTATGATCGCACTTTTGTTTGTATGTTTGTTTTTCAAAACAGGGTTTCTCTGTATTGCTTTGGAGCCTTTCCTGGAACTAGCTCTTGTAGACCAGGCTGGTCTGGCCCCAGCACTTTTTTAAATAAGCATTGTTTTCCAACTCACTTCCTTAAGGGACTAATGTAGGGCTCATTTAATAGTAATAATTTTGTACCTTAAATCATGAATAACTGTGATCATGTTTTAAAAAGGATAGTCAAGAAGAATATTCATAGCAGAAAAGTTATAAAGAGTTCTCAATAGGAGAAACTTAGTATTAAAGTTGAAAAAACTTTATAAGGAATCCTTAAAGTATTTCAATAGTGTTCAAACTGAAGAATAACTTTTCAGAAACTTAATGTTACCCCTAAAACCAATAACTGCTCAATGAACAGCATAATAGAGCATCATTTAGATCTGGTTAAAAAGGCCCAATTTCTTGTGTGCTTAATGTATTTATTCATTTAGTTATTAAATTAAAAGCTTTATACAAGTTCAACTATTTTAAAGATTAATATCACTGATGTCATTTGTGATTTACTAAAAGTATCTAATTATTTTACATTATATGTGTAAGAATTTCTCTTTGTAACTTTATGCTTATCTTTTATACCAGAGCTGTAATGTGCCATGTACTTGTACTGACAGGAATAATAATCTCATTCTTCAGTATTACCTGTCATACCTTGCATAATGTTAGCCCAACAAAACTTTGCAGACCAATTAAAAAATACAAGTGGAAGAAAAGCAATGCTTAAACTGATGCTGACATATCCTTCCTATTTTAGTGAGTTTCTGGGAAACTTTTCAAGCTATCTTTGTGGCAACTCATAGAAACACACATCAATACATAAGATTTTTTTAAATGCTGGGTTATGATCCATTAAACATGTTTAGATGGTGCCCAAATAGGTCAAAACATCCACTTGAGAAATACTGGTCTTCAGGTTCTTAACTAGAAGATTCTTCATGGTTTACCAGGGCTTATCATATCAATATACAACAAGGACATTCTGGAAGACATTTCAGTAATTTAAAACAAAACTGATTGTCTTACAGCAATACTTCTTACATAGAGATCACTGAAATGCCAATGATGCCAGTGGCTCTTCCTCAAATATGTCCCTTTCTCTGTACTTGGAATAGAGATCTTTAAGTTAAATGTGGTTCCAGCAGTCAACACAGACTACTCTCATGTGCTAAAAGAAACCAAATAGAACCATTCAGAGCATCAAATCTGTCGGTATTTTTATTAACCTTGTCTTTTAGTTAAACATTCATATTTGTTATTTCCACCCCTCCTTTTTTTTTTTTTTTTATCTGTTCTTTTATAACTAGAATAGACGTAAGAGCAGGGACTAGTTAATTAACAAAACCATCTTTTTAAAAATAGCTTTTAGACTTTAATATACCTTTTTACATTTAAAATATTTAGTGTGTGTGTGTGTGTGTGTGTGTGTGTGTGTGTATACAGGTAAGTGCCATGGTATACATACACTCAGATGACAACTTTTTTCATCATGTGAGTCCTAGAGATCAGATTCAGGTTGTCAGACTAAGCTATTATGTCAGCCCTAGATTTTAAAAATAATTAATTACTTTGGTCTCTACCGCTGTATTATCACATTCATCTCTTTATGGTTTTGCATGTGAAAAACTTCAAACTTTTCAACTTGACATCTTATCTATACCAAGAAATGAGAAGCTTTATGTCCATACCTTTGGAAAAATAAGGGTTATGGTTTGAAAAACCTTTCATAGAAAGGCAATATGCCAATTCTGTTTATAAGTATTAACTCACAGAACTATACTGCAGAATGTAAAGAAAGGAAACTAAGGGAGAGATTCTTTAAAAATAAAGATTTATAATAGTGAGAGAAAAAAGTTTTAACTACTATGTAAATAAGGCTCTAAGACATCGTTTTTAAGAACTGACAATCAGTACCTTTTTAAATTTTCCTTGTCGTTTTGCTGCAGACTGCCCCTGGGAGTTAGAACGACATTCTGTAAGAAAACATGCATAATCTACACAGGATGGAGATACCACCTCTGCCTAATTTTCTTCCAATTTAACATTTTATCTGTATGTGTCACAGTACTCAGAAGGGTCAGATCTGTGACCAAAATGGCATGCTTTAAAGAAAGCAGCACTGCCATACCAATTTTTAAAAATAAAAATGCACTCAAATATGCCATTTTAAGGCAAACCTTCTTTTCAGCATTTTATTTAAAAAATTTAGTGATCAAACTCCATTGTCATTAAAACATTTAAAAAAGCACTTAAGTTAGCTGACAGTCTGCAGAATCTGACTGTATGCAGGAGGTCATGACCATCACATAGGCCTATGGCATTCTTTAAAAACAAAACAAAAACCCGCAACACTCAGGGTTACAAAGAAAGGCAAAGTGAAGTAAAATCACACTTCCTTTCCTACTACCAAAATGTAAGAAGTGTAAAACTGCCGAGGAAAGTTTAAATGAAAAACTCAATGGCAATTGTGCTAACTCAATAACTTTAGATTATTCTTGTCTTCTTATAAATGACCTTTCTAACTATTGTTAGCTAGGTAAATTCAATTCCATGTACTTATATATACTTTCAAATTTTTCTCTAACAGTATAGTCAGGAAATACTATTTTCTGAATTGTAACAAGAATCTGTCAATAATTATTTTCTGTTATATCTTTCATGAGAAGTGGACTTCTGAGATGAGCCATCTACCATTTGGGTGAAAAATTTAGTTGCAGTTCCACGGAAAGACCTATCTAGGTAAACCTATAGTAAGATCTGAGGGTTTTTTGTTTTTTTTTTTCTTTTGTCAAGACAGGGTTTTTCTGTGCAGCCCTGGTTGTTCTGGAACTCACTGTGTGGACCAGGCTGAACTAGAATTCAGAGATCCACCTGCTTCTGCCTCCTCAGTGTTGGAATTAAGGTATGCACCACAACACGTGGTTATCAGGATTTCTTGAATCAGTTCAAGAACAAAGTACAGTATCAAGTGCTGATTTACTTCAAATGACACTGAAGTATGTATGTGTAAGTTGTACACACTGAAATGCATCCTGAGAAATGTTAAGGTAAACAACTTTTTCTAAGCACAAACTCCCCAAATTATGCTTCAATAGCTGTGAATATATGGCCTTGATGGAACAATGAAAAGCAATAAAAATAAGTTTCAAGATAAATGAGATGAGCTCATTCTGACAACAGCATTTAGAGATCCCAGTATCAGGTTAAACAGACTCACATAGCTTTGTATGAACTAATGCTAATGAGAAATGCAAAGATGTAAGAATGACAATTGTGACTGGTTTTAAAATAAAATGACTCATAGGTCATAAAGGGTGACAGATCCACATAAACATCATTCTATGTAACAAATCTGTAATGAAAACAGATGGAAAAACCTGAAACAAATGCCTAGAAGGCTTTAATACCAATTATCTCTAAATTAGAAACTAATTGAAACTAAAAAACACAATATCAAAAGAAACATCTTTCATCTACCCACATAATTAGACAAGAACTCAACAAGTTTTCACAAATGTGAAAGCCAATATTCATTAGTAAAAATTCTTCAGACTGGTTTTTATAATCAGTTAAAGAGAATCTGACTTATTGCAATCTCTATAATATGTTGACCAAATTGTAGGGTATGCTGTAATTTTACATTTATTTCAGCCAATTATGATCTGGATCTCAGGAAGATTTGGTATTAAGTCGGGATAGGTTCAGGACATAAGGTATACAGGCTTGTGCAAGAGAACAAAAAATATTTTTCAATCACACATTAAAAAAGACACCAAATATTAATTCACTTTCACTAATAGCTCAAGAAAAAGAAAAACAATTAATCTGTGCCCTCCCTGGTGTCTCTTTTTACCCATCTGAACCGTGTATTTAAAGCCCATCTTCAAAGGGACAGGAAATTTTAAGCAGGTACTAATTTTAGTGCAAAACACTAGTACTTACAGCTTTCTTTCCAAGCTCAGTCTTTGACAATGTCAAGGAGCCTGCAAGGTAGCATCCGGGTCCTGCCCCCTTAGGTATTCTAATGAGAGAATTACAAAGGGAAAAGAGTAACAAAAGAAAAAGTTTCACAAAATACTTAGAAGAAAACCATCAAAATAATTCCATAATGAAATATTTCCCATGTCCAAATTTTCAAAAATACAACTGAGAAATAACTTCTGACTAAAATGATAGCAAATTACAAATTTTTAGACTAATATATGAACCACAATGTCATTTATCAGCAATATCTTCACTTACTTATCATCAGGTAAGGAAGTAACAAAAAATGGCTGGTTATATTTGGGTGGTAATGTCAAACTGCTTGATTTCTTCTTTCCTAGAAGTGCAAGGCTATGATTTTCATGAATATCTAAGCTCAAGGTATTAGACAACCTATGAGAAACAATAAATGGAAGATCTTTAAGACGATCCAAATCACTGATTTGCTCATGACGAATCTGTAGTCGAATTGTATAATCTCCTTTCTCCAGTTTCAAAGAATACTAAAAAAAAAATGAAAGAGTTAAGTTTAATTCAATAAACAGTAAGAGGATAAGAGACAGTTCCATTTATAGAATGTGTACAAGATACAAGACATTGTCTATACAAAAATGTCTAAGGGGGCTAGTGGGCATCAGGAATATCAAGTGACTTGCCCAGAGTCATAGAGAGTAAAGAGTGAAAGAGCTCAGGCAAGGTCTGACCCCAATATCCTCATTCTTTCCACTACAGGATATGCACTCATTCACATGATCAATACTTATATACAAATAAGAAAAACAAAATTTTGGTCATGAGTCATTAGAAGCATCAAGTAATAGTCAAAAAGTCAAGTTGAGTTTTTGTATATTTCCTAAAATATACATACATACATACATACATACATATATATATTTATTTTGAATTTTAACTGTGAAGTATCACACCTCTTTAGGACAAGCAGGAAAAACAGAGCCAGTAGAGATCAAAGAATATAGAGCTACTACATTCAACCTTGCTAATATGCTCATGGAATAGGGATCTGTACTCTGCAGAAGCATTGTATTCTGAGAAGATGTGAAAGTTAACTTCCAACATTCCATTCTATAGTGATGAGACCACTGCTTGGTTGAGAAGGGAAAACTGGGATCATTCTTTAAATAACAAAATGCAAAAATTTCCATGAATGATTTTCATTACTTAGCAAAAAAAAAAAAAAAATCACAAGCACTTCAAGAAAAATATCTCATTTCTTCAAATACAATTTGAATTAGAGAGGAAATTTCCAAGAAGTTACATGTCAAGAGAGTCTTTGCTTCCCTTCAGTGATAGTGGAAAGCACAGAGTCTGGTAGTTCAATGTAGTTCAATAATGCTCATACAATTTCAGGTCTGGATTAATAAACTGAAACCATCATACTACTGCCTTACTAAGCCCACAGTTCAATTCAGACCTGGGATCACTCTCCAGTCTCACACACCTCACTCACTAACCATCTTTAAATAAGTACAAGCATTGTGTAGGAGGGAGAAATACTACAATAAATCACTATCTAATCTCATGATAGAGTACACGCTAAGCACATGCCAAGTGCTGGCTGCAGTCCCTTCTCCTCCACTAAACATGCTCTGCCGGACAGTGCTTGTAAGCAACATCCTCAGTATATGGCAGAAACATTGTCAAGTCTGTTCCTTCATAATTGCAAGAGCAAAAGACATCTCTGTAAGTGTAAAAGGATATCTTTAAAAAATTTTCGCATTTTACCTTAACAAGAAATTTGAGATTTATTAATTCTTTTTACAACTTGTACCTGATGTGGATAGGCATCGCCTGAGCCCATCTGTCTTTTGTTCTGGTCAAAAATAATCCACAGTTGGCTGTCAAATTCTGACTCATATAACAATTCACAAAGAAGTGGACAACTAGGTGTTACTTCTCCACTTTTAGGCTATTGAAAAAAAAAAAAAAAAGAAGAATTACTTGACATGGTTTATATATAATATCACTATACTGTTTCATTAAAAAGTATTCAGAATACACGCTTATAAACTTTTTTTTTCAAAGTATAGGGCAGCTACTATTGTGGCATTAAATAAACTTTTAAAAATAAAAGCTCAGTGCTCCTCCTAGACACACATACATAAATATGCACATACTCACTTCTAATGAATATATATTTTTCCAACATATACACTCTAATTTCTTTATGAAATTGGAATCTAACAATTTACTGAAATCTACCATTCTGTAACATTAAAACTAAATTAAGATGAAGTGAAATCTCACTCACTATAAAAATCCCCTGGATCCAACATTTACAATGGTCTCAATTACTTTCCCTCCTGATTCTAGTTTCACTACTGATTCTTTGCAGAGGGCAATCAGGCCAGGTGTTATCAATGTAGAATTGTTGTGGTCAGGACGTACAACACCTCCCACATATGCTGAATGCTTGGTACCCAGCTGGTGATGCTGTGTTGTTTGGGAGATGGTTGAAATTCCAGGAGGTAGGGCCTTGTTGGAGGAAGTTGAGTGGCACTGGGCATTAGCTAATTTTTAGTTTCTGGTCCCCTCTTCTCTGCTTCCTATGCTCTGTGAGTTGAGCAGCCTCTGTTAAGTTTTCTGATGCCATTGTGGTATATTACCTGACTATAGGCCCAGGAACACAAGAGCCCAGTGAGCACAGGCTAAACCATCTCAGAGTACCAACTCTTTCCTTTATGTTTTTTTCCCCTATTGTTTGTCACATCAACAGAAAAATACACTATAAAAAAACTAAGTCTCAAAGATAAGTGACATCTTTCCATCTGTGATTTCACAGTATATAAAATGGTAGCTAACTGAACAGGTATATTTTACTAGATAAGATAACACTTACCTGATGAAAGTTGTATGTCAGAACCATCTCATAAAGTTGGCGATTATTTGGCAAAACATCTCTTGATCCTAAAGGTCTGGTTTTTGCACTTACTGGGCTGTAATGTAATAAGACAACTGTATCACTGAATTAATTCAAGACTTCATTTAAAAACACAGAGAAAGCAGCTAAATGTGCCAGGTGAAAGGTCACTTCTGAAACTGTGTTTACAGTAAACCATATAAAATTTTAATTAATATGTACCCCATACTAACTAAATCACTGCAAGATTACAAGAATATTCTATTTATCATCAAAAACATTTTAAAATATTACCAAAAAACTCTTACCATAGCCAAATCCCAACACTTGGGTAATGACTACCAACAACAGTTAAAGAAAAGCTCTGATAAACACACTCCCTGATAGCCTCACTTACTGGTGCTGCTACATAGGCATGGCATGTGTGACATCATATGCTAGGGATATAGCTAGTCCTTGTCCTGAGTAAATGACACTGTTAAGGTATTAGTAGCAGAACACCAAAACTGGAAATTCCTGCTTCCACAAGGAGTTATGGCATATACTCAAGAGACAATTTTTTTCTACTAGTCAACGGGATTTTCTGGTATTGAATTTTGACCAACAGTGAATCATGTATTCACAGAATAAAAATTGGATACTGTTAACTAGCTTTGTTGAAATATTAAACTGAGGGTTTTATGCATGGGAAGTGAACACTCCATGGTTAGGAAAGACAGGATACTAATGATGATGGGATCAGGGAAGGCAAAAAGCAATGCTGAGCCAACTTTTGGAAACCCAAGAGGATTCCTAGGCTGCAAACTCAAACTGGATTTTTTTAATCACTAGCATCACAGATAAAAATTAGAAAGAAAACAAACAACCCCCCCAAACCTCACATCCTTCCCATTTGTAACTCTTAAAACAGTGACAGATACCGCAGTGTTTGGACCCAGCTCTTCAAAGTAATGCAAGGAGCCAGATCTTCATACTTTAAGGATGACTGAACATCAAAACGATTGATTCCTTCAGATGCATGCTACAAAAGATATTTAAAAATTGATTTCTCAAACTTTAAGATAATATTGTATATCTAAATATGTTTATGAAATGCAAATATTTAAATCCCCATGGACAAATACATCCAGATTTATCAATTAGTTCCTCATTAAGGTTTAAATTTACCACAGAAATTATTTTTCATAACAAAAAAGATACTAAAAAGGATGATGATTTTACAATACTTACAATGTTTAACTGTGGCGCAGTACACACTATCCCATGGAATGATATGGTATAATCAATATTGACGTCACTGAGACTTGCCCACCAACGAGCAATACAAAATTCAATTGCTTTCCCACCCTTCAAATAAAAATAAGAATGTTAAAGAATGAATCTGTTTTCTAATTCTTCTTCATATCACCAAATATTACCTGTTTCAAAATAAAATTTTTATTCCCAGGAATGAAACTAAGGATTTTATGCTAGTTGTTCAACAAATAACATGGGTATAGGTAAGGATTTAAATAGTTATTAAGTCCAACACTTTTAAAAACATAAAAGATACACGACAGCCATACAAGCTACACACAGTAAATTAAAAAGCCCTAGGACCAACTAAAAGATAATTCAGATTAATGATGAGAAGGAATGTTACAAAATTTCTAAGGCATACTCAATAGGCAGGAATGAATTTTGTTTTCACAGCCACCTGGCAACTGATAAGGCAAGTTACAGTCACATCCATCTCTTAAGAAAAAAATGTAAGAGGGTGTCCTAGCACTGCTGTACTAGAACATTTAAAGAAATGAATAATGCTAACAGTGTCCCATATAAAGTAACAGACACACAGGAGATATTAGGAAGAGAAAGCCCAAAGGAACAAGCACAGCAGCACATTCACATACCATGACCAGAACCAGTCATTCCAAATATGGGCAAGAAATAGAGAACTGACAATAGTTTTCTCTGTAAATCAAACCACTTCAGATTCACAACAAAAGGACATTAGTAAGATAACTAGAAATAAGTCTCACATCAGGAAAAAAAAAAAATCTTCAGTACTATGTGCTAACAATGTAAATGACCAAATTATAAAGAGGCACATGATTAGAACTTTTAAGAGATGTGAATATTGGTTGGGGTACAGTTCAGTTGTAGAGCACTTACTTGCCTTAGATGCACATCATCTGGGTTCCATCATAGCATTTTAAGAATGGGAGAATAGAGGAGTAAAATTTACTCTTGAAACACAGCTTTAATTTTATTTACTGGTATAGATCAGCACTATGTAAATCAGGCTGGTCTTGAACAGTTAGAGATCTGCTTACCTCTGCCTCCAAATGCTAGGATTACAGTTAAGCACTATGCTTGCTGGCTTGGTTTTAGTACTTTTTTTTTTTTTAAAAGATTGTTTATTTTATGTATATGAGTGTTCTGCTTGCATGTGGTGCTTGCCTAGTGTGAGGTGGTCAAAGAGGAACTGGAGTTACAGATGGTTGTAAGCTGCCATGTGGGTGTTGTGAACTGAAGCAGAGTCCTCTACAAGAGCAGCAAGTACTCTTAAATCCCCAAGTCACCTCTCCAGTCCTGGTTTTCAGTATTCTTCACCAAACTACCTCACCCTACCTCAACTGACAGATATGAACAAAATAAGAAACTCTAACATGCCCTAGGCACAAACTAGTCTTAGCTCATACCAAAAGAAAAGGTACTGCTCTGAATTTTAACCTTTCAAATAAACTTACCAGGACAGGAAAGGCTTCAACCAGTGTTCCTTTTTCTGGAAGGGAACAAAACTTATAAAATTCATGACTTCGATATGCTCTCTGCTTCACCAGCTGTACTGCATGCAGAACAAACTTTGCTGATACCTCAGCAGAACATGAACACACAGTAACTTCTAAAATGAAGGAAAAAAAAAAAATAAGTTTTAAATAAGAATTAAAATGATCACAATTTTTTAAAAAACTAAGTTTTACCTGCTTAGGGAATAATAAAAAATAAAATTATAAATATATATTTTTATTTGATTTACATAGGTGTTTGTCCTCAGTCATGTGCATGTCTGGTGCCTGTAGAGTCCTGAAGAGGTCACTGGCTACTCTGGAACTGGAATTATAAATGGTTGGGACACTCCATGTAGGTTCTGGGAATAAAACCCAGGTCTCTCTGGAAGATCAGGAAGTGCTCTTAACCATGTTTCTTTCCAATTCCTAAAATGGTGTTTTCAAACAAAAGCTACAAGTTTCCTCAAAACAGAGTATGTGTATAGATGATATTCTGTAAGAAACCATTATTAAGTGAACAGAATCATAACTTCAGACACTAGGAAAGAACAAAGCCACTTCTGGATCTATACACAATTATCCTAACTAGGGCTTTCAAAATTGCTCCTTTCTCTCATTTTAATCACACAAAACCAAACCAAACAAACAAACAAAAAACCTAATTCCCAATAAGAGGATTGTAATTTTAGCAACCCCTATTTATCATGTCTAAATTTTCTTCCTATATTTTCCCTCTTGTATGTATTCCTAACAGTTTCTCCAAAGTATCAATATCACAACCACACCTGCTTAGCTTTACTGCACTGCATGGCTAGAGGTAAACCAAAACAATGAGGAAAGATTATTAAAGAATACTTGTTCTAACTCAAAAGCACTAAAGCAAGTGTCAGTTCATTTTTGTTCTTACAGACAAGGGGAAACAGAGGGAAAATCAATCAATTGCTACAAATATATATATATTTGGTGTTCTGACAATATTTTGAATGATCTGAAATAGGAACCACGAGAACACTTGCAATCTAATACTATGAAGTAAAGTGGAAACATGCTCATTCTATACCGCTGAATGTTTTATAACAATAACCCCCGCTCCAATCCCTAAATATTTTCAACACCAAGTACATAAATCATAGGGGAATTATATTTATTGACTTATCACTAATCAAGTTTTTTTTTTCTCTATCTCTCTTAATTAAAGAAAACAGACACCGAGTAAACTGTAAAGCCTGGTCAGAAACGAGTAATTTCTGTGGGTAAGATTTTTATTCTTTAGAACTATTACTGAATTTTAACAGACTCGAGCTACATAATGCCAAGGGGCCCTATGTAAATACTGCAGTACTATGCAATGCCACAACTTGGCCTTAAAATAGCCCACATTGACAACTCACAATTACAGCCCCAAACAGATTTCTGTCACTCAGTAAACCAAACTCTTAAGAACACAAAGGTTGACGTTAACATAAAGGAAGCACTACTTAATTGTCTATACTTATAGATATATCAGTTAAGATATTTCACACTATCAGTAAGTTGGTCAGAGTTTGAATTAGGTATTCTATAGAAGAAAAGGACTTTAAAAGCAGTCTTCTTCTAACGGCCTAGCATAGAATACAAAAAGGTAGTAGTTGAGAATAACTTCTGAGAACCCTCAGAAAGAAATCAACACAACAATGTATTATTACTAGTGTGAAAATACTCAAATATATTTAAAAAAAACAAAAAACAAACAAACAAACAAAAAAAGTCACTGCCAAATTATACTTACCAGCCCAAGTTGCACCCTCAGGAACCTCAACAAAATGTCTTCGAATCTGACCAGGTTTAAAATGTACATCTGTAAAAGCTAGATCATAATGTGATGACTCATTTATTCTGAAAATTAAAAAAATATATAAATATTAAACATGATACTCTAAATGTAAAGCTACATTTAAACAATAAACTTGCAGGTACTCTAGATGTTATCTAACATATGCAAGACTATAGTGTGCTAAAAATAAACCCTGAGGCTTGCAATGAGTTGGTAATAAATGGTTAGCACAGTACTACCTCGTCCTGTCCTGTAACACAGCATCAGATATAACCTCTGATGGCAGCCCACAGATGATTCTACTCACCTACTTTTACACCTTGCAACAGAAATAGTAAAAAGCTTATGCTGTCTCCTGTTTTTTCTAAAAGAAGTTTCTAAAATTCACAGGATTTTCTCATTACCAGATTCTCAACTAGTGATTCCTAAATATTAAAATAGAATTATACAATAATAGTCTTACAGATGCACAGGTGAAACAGATATTAAATTAAACCTCTGGTTACAGTTTCAAAATGCTCCAAAAACAAACTACTTTCATAAGAAATCAAGGAAACCTAAGCATCAAATGTATAACTATATGTACTAGAAATAAAATACATGCTATAGCCACACAGTATTCAGTTTTACAAAGAAGAAATGAGTACCACAGTTATTTGTAGCTAGAAATATACCAATGAGTAAGACATGACCATTTGGTCTATAAAAAATGATGTTGGGAGAAAAACCACTTAATACAGAAAGCTTCAGAAAGCAATTGTTAGGGGGAAAATAGAAGAGGGCTTAGATACAAAAAGTGAGCCTGGAGAAACTTCCTAAACTGCATGGTATTGAAAATCTTGTCTAAATTCCCACTGTACTTATACAAAATATATAATGGATGCAATTAAATAAGATGCAGTTTTCCCATGTTCATGGCCTGTATTAAATTTAATCTCCCCAATTTTATGCTATAGACCCCATTGGCTGAGGCTTATTACACCATTAACCCAAACAAACCCCTAAAAAGTATTAATTTAAAATGTGTAAGACACAGTTTTTATTCACAGAGGACTCACAATCAAATGAAATAAATTAAATAAAAAAAATTGGAACACATCAGCCAGAGACTGTCCAGAAGCTTGTAAAAAGTATTAATGTCAGAGAGAAGGAACTGCCTTCACCTGGGATGCCCAGAAACAAGTCTGGAAATTCAACGGACAGGCAAACCAGGCAAAGGAACCAACAGTACAAATGCATAAACACTGAGGAAGCCAGGAGTGTCAGGGCAGGCAGTTGGTTAAAAATGTGCAGTTTTGTAAAGTCAGTGACAGGAAGCTACATGGGACTGTAATTGTGAGCTGTTTTTGTGGCCTTCTTAAGGAATGTAAACCTGATCCTTAAGGACTACCCCTGCTGTAGTCCTTATCAAAGGACTACATTATCAAAGTTGAATTCCATGATTCCAGGAAGTATGAAATAGTAATTCTGGAAACAGTTGTGAGATATTTGCACACTGTATGAAGTTGTATTTGCTGTAATTGGTGTAATAAAAAGCCGAACAGCCCATAGCTAGGCAGGAGATCAGGTAAGATTTCCAGGGAAAGGAAAAGAAAGAGAATCTAAGCACACAAGAGACACCAGGAGAGGAAACAGAGGGCTCAAGATAGAAGAGAAGTTATGTCATGTCATAGAAAGGGGATTAATATAAATGGGTTAATTTAAGTTATAGAGCTAGTTAGGAACAAGCCTAAGCTAAGACCAAGGTTTCACAATTAATAACAAGTATCCATGTCATTATTTGGGTGTTGGATGATAGGACAGAAAAACTCATTACAGAAAGTATCTAGAAAATCAGAAGAGCATAATCAGGCTCAGGAAAGTAAAGCTGAGTGGAGTGGAAGATAAAAAAAAGCACTATGGAGGAACAAAGGAATGGAGTAAAATGAAGACAGACTCAACTGGGCAATATGGACTCACTGGCAGTCTGAGTAAAGACATTTCAGGAGGGTGGGCAGATGCCAGGGGCTCTGAACTCATAATTAATACAAACAACATAGCTAATTATATACAATCGAGAATGGAACAGAACCTGATTACCTGCTTCTGTCTGAATAATCTTTCCAGTTATTGGCCTCTGGGCTAATAATCCTCCAAAAGTCTATACTATATCACATATAGGCATTAACAATTTACATATGTAATAGTAAGTTAAATATCTTACTTACTTTGCTGCTATAACTGCAGTGATTGGAACTCTGAATAGAGGACCTGCATTGGGGGATGCTATATCATAGCCACATACCTTGAGGATAGAATGGTAAGTTTCAGAATCCATGAACAAAGTGGCAAAACAGGAAATAAAAGATGTAATGTAAGCACAGAAGAATCTAAACTTAAAATTTAAAGGTTCTACAGTAATTCAATACCACATTACTAACATTAGTTCACATAGTAACACAAAGTCCAAATAGTCACATAAGCAAATCATGACTGAGACTAATAGGCAATAAGGTATCAAATTAAAAGAAAAAACTCATGCTCTACTTATTTATGCTCTACTACAAACTAAAACTAGTGTTATAAATACTTTGGAGGTAGAAAGATGTTATGACACTATCTGTGTTTACTTACAGCTACTATGTTCAACAAATGTTTTGTCTAAACAGTAAAGCTAACTACACTACAGGTTTTTGTATAATTAACAAAGTAGAGAGGCCTGATCAAAACAGCTTTGCTAGCTATGTCTTCCCCTAGCCTTCTTCACAGAAGGATGCAACACTATAGATCTAACTGCTTAAATGAATACAGAAAAGCTAGAAAATCTGCCAAGTGGAAAGATATATAGTTGTTTTTTAAGAAAAAAAAAAAAAAAAACAGATATGACAATACCTCTGTATAATGCAACCCTTCTCTTAAGCCCCTGGGATCCACACGTATATTTATGTGCCGACACTGATTCATGAGTTCCAAATGGCTGGGGCACTGAACCCAAGACGAATTTGAAGTTAAAGCTAAATGAAGCTGAAGGGATATTTTTTCAGAGTTTTCTGCCATTAAAAAAAAAAGTCAAAAATTAAAATTAACATTTCTGGGGACCATGTTTATAGTGCTATGTTCTGTCAAGAAAATTTTGCAACTTAGTTTGGTTTGCTGTACAATGCATTAGACATGACATTCAAATTACAACTTAAAAGTACAGAATTTTCTGTATATCTTAGTATCCTTCTGTGTGATTCATAAGCATTTTCACCCAACAACCTCAAGAATATGAGTTTAGTGGTTGTTTTATATTTCTGTATTCAGATAAGAGCATCTCACTAAAATAAACTGCCAAATATACAATGACAGCTTTAATTATACCCAGCTGGGTGGCAGTGTATGTGCCCTGCTGCTTCTACTTCTAACACTAACCTAAAGCTCTGTCTTCTACTGAAGGAATGAGATATGGACAGAAAAGTAATCTATAATTTTATTACAAGTTTAATATAACTATGGGTCACTGAAGGCCTGGGTCCACTGTTTTCCTCAAAGTCAAGATACTGCCTGAAATGCTGCTATGGTACTGGGATCCCAAACTAATATTTCCCATGAAATCTATTAAACTTTAAAACAATCACTTAATAATTTATAACTTCTTAGAGCAGTGGTTCTCAACCTGTGAGTCAGAACCCCTTTGGGTCTGCTAAGACCACTGGAAAACAGACATTTGCATTATAATTCTTTACAAATAGGGAAATTACAGTTATGAAGCTACAACAAAATAATTTTAGGGGTCACCACAACATGAACTGTATTAAAGGGTTACAGAATCACCAAGGGTAAGATTCACTGCTTTAGACATTAAGACAGAAGCATTCTTCTTTTATTTACCATTCATTTAAGCCACAAATATGATTGCTTCTGCTTATTGCCAGCCTACTACTTACCTGTGTTCTCTGGGAATACAGGCTCAATGCCAACACCATGATCTGAAGGAGCAGCCACCTGAACAGGATCTCGGAGGTAGATGCCACGGTTAGTTCCAACTGTAACTGTAAAACCTAATTTGTTAGCAAATGATGTATTCTGAACGAGGTAGTCATAGGCTTTGTCAACCTGGAAGAATATAAATGGTAAAATATAAATGGCTATGTCAAGAAAAATATTTTATTACAAATTATGAATCAATTTAATTTTAGCTGTTGCAAAGCTGATTTCTAGATTCACTTCTCTAAACTAATCACCACAGCTAAGACAGCAAACCTATGTTTTAAAACAAATACTATTCTAATCACAATTTGATGACTTTCCACTTCAGTCTGAATTCACAGTTGTTCTCATGTGATCCAAGGCCACTCACTAACTTAAGCCTGAGCAAGGCTTACTTTTACCATTTTGAATTTCCAATCTTTACATGCCCTCAATGTTTATTTCAGTGCAGCTACTTTCTTTTACCTACAAAGTGACTTTGTACCCTTTTTGCTTATAGTTCTACAATGGCCAAGTCTATAATTTAGACTTACTGAATCATCATTGCAGAGCAATCTTTACAGCATTATCTTGGTGCTTTATCATTGTTTTGTACACAGACAACAATACCTGAATAATTCCATGTCCTTGGGCAAATACTTCTATATTGTCAGCTTTTATTGCAGTATTTTCTAGAGCTCTTCTGACTGAGTGAACAGTATAATCAATATTATTTGCTTTCAGACCTAAAATTAAAAAGCAAAACCAGGAAATTAATATTAATGATCTCACTAGTTGAAAGACGTCCCCTTCACCAAAATATAACATGTACCCTCTTCTGCTGTATTTCCTTTTAAAATTCACTTCAGAATGTTTTCTTAAAAATTAATAACTGATTTAAATTGTTTGCATCCCATAAATACTGTACTTGGAGAAAAATTCATTTCATTCCATTCTGCAGTCACATCAATGCAGGTTATGTAGCTATGACATGGATGTACAAGCAGACATGTTACGGGTATTCAAATGGCATTGTCTTTAAAATATTGTTGGTTCAGCACTATGGTTGGTGACAGCAATTTACAACCAGATTATATGTTATAATCGCCAGTGGAAATTAAGCAAACTAAATCAAAGACATCAAACATGTCTCACTACAGCTCGGAATCTTTAAAGATTAGGTAGCACGCAATTTCAGTGTACAGCCAGTTTTTGAACATAGAAGGGTATGGTCAAGAATCGCCAGCCTATTAAAGGATGAATATTATACTATTTTTGTTCTCCCAGAACTCATAAAATGTATTTCCAGTAAAATATTGTAATATGTAAACAAAACAAATAGGTAGGCTATGATGCAAACTAAGGCAGCTATAATCATGTCCACAAGAATCCAGAAGAGTGGTAGATGAGTTGAGTCTTGTAGAATGCATGAGTTTTCTGATCCAATCCATGGCAGAAAGGATTTGCAGGTAGAAATAGCTGAATATGCAGAGAGAAGACTTGCAACCTTGAAATATTTGGTGAGTTTGAAGGACAAGAAATGAATAGAGGCGAGGATCTGTTCTGAGGTCTGACTCACCCTAGCAGGTGAAGTAGCACTAACTGGGACATTGAGGCAGCCCAGTATGGCTCATTCATATTGGGTAGAGAAGAAAGTTACAAGACAGAAAAGGAGATAACAACAGAGGCCAGTGAGAGGTAGGACTTGGAAAGAGGGACACTTTTTGAGGCAGAAACCTGAGTCAGAAGTGACCTAGAGACATCCTGTTCAATACTGCACATCATCATCACCTGGTAAAGTAGCATAAACATTCTGAATTTGTTTACAGTTTGTCTTTAACAGTAAACTTCACAGAGCAAAGTACTTTTGATGTTCTACTCATGGATTTAGCACCAGAATGAAAAAAATTATTTGATAAGCAATAATAGCAGTCAATAAATTAAATTTTCTGAATGGCTGAATACTGACTCCAAGGATTGTTATCTGATGCATCACTTTGTACCTTACACCTTATTTTGCCTTATTTTGTGTTCAGGGTATCACCACTTCTATCCAATCTCTCACCATGAGAATTGCAGAAAACAAGATCTACAATAAAGAAGAGAGTAGTAAATAATACTCTTACCTGAAAGTACCAGGGCAATGCCCCCACAGGCATTGGGGGAAGACATTGATGTCCCATTCATTAGCTGAGTCCCCCTCAATGTCCAGTTAGGCACAGAAGCAATGGCCCCTCCTGGTGCACTGATGCTCACACCAAGGGCCCCATCAGCACTAAACAGAAAGCAGGAAGGTTTATGTAGAATGAGAATAGCTGGATATGTACAATATTTAAAAGGTCACAATTATAGTCCAAAATGATACAGATATTTGCACTCATTACCTAAAACAAAGAAAGAAAAGACAAAAATATATTATGAGGCAGCAATGGAAGGAAAATGACCAAACACAGCTAATTTCTCACCACATATTTTTTACTTAGTGAAATTTTCATGTGTATATATCTATGTTTATGTGAAAAAGTCAAAGGTGTTAGCGATTTGAATGCTGTAACTGGGTGATGAGGCTATTTCTTTTGTCTATACCAAAAAATTTCCACTGTGTCAACAGAAATGTAACATGGGCCTTATATATAATTTAAAATTTTCTAAAGCTAGATTAAAAAGAGTTTTAAAATCATGCTATATGTGTGTGTATGCATATGCATCTAAGTTTGGGTTGGCCTGTGGTCACGTTAGTAGAGGACTGTCTTGATTAACTGACCCAGTCTAAAAGTTCAGATGGAGTCAGAAAATTAACACTTGTCAATCAGAATTTGCTTGCTTATAGGAATCATTCAAAATGTTCCAAGTAGATTATAACTTCAAAATGAACATAAGATCTATTACTGTGATTTTTACAAAAGTAAAGCATGTTTCACCAAAGTTTCAACATCAAATTTGCTGAAAACAAGGCTGTTACTACTTCTTATCTACAACCACCCCTTCTCCCAATAGTATAAAGTAATCAAACACATGTTCCTAGAACTACTTGTACTTACCTTGGGCCTCTAGAAGACCATGTGTATTGATTTGCAGGTAATTTCTCTCTCAGTGAATACTCTGCAACCATCATATCAGGAGAAACATAAGCTCCAACACCTATAGAATAAATTAACCATTAATAAAAAAAGGAACACTTTTTTTTTAATGTATCTTAGGTTTTTTTTTTTTTTTTTCCTCTTCAGGAAAACACACTGTGCATGTGATCAAAATACTTAACATTCCCCTCCCCCGCTCACCCCATGAAATGGAAAGAACATTTAATGGAGAAACAAAGAATGTTTATATTACAAACTAAGTACTAAGTATACTGCTTTTGTAAATATAAAAAAAGAACTTCCATGATTATTATTTGCACTAAAAAAAAAAAAAAAGTCTAAAAGTGTGCAATGTGTTCCCATTAAACCACTTGTCCTAAATTCCTAAATTACACAGTTCCTCAGAATTTCCTAGGAACACATTTAAGATCTTTGTGAAGGTGTGTCCAACCCACCTCCCACAGGACACATGCAGCCCACTGTAAGCTTAAAACATTATGAAAGTTAGTTTCTATAACCTGACCTTGTAAAAGAAATCATCCTGTCACAATGTAAAATAATTGAACATACTCAAGTCTACAGTGTTTTATATATAGAGTACAATACTTGAATAAACTCTGATTTATTATATATTTTATGTATTTTTGGGAACAGGGTCTCTGTAGTATCATAGTCTGTCCTCAAACCTGTGATCTTCCTCCTTCAATCTCCTGTTTTCCTTGTATTTAAACAGACCTTTTTCTGAAACTTTAAAGCTTACTAACCTATCACACTGGATGTAGTTCCACCTGGACAACCCACTGTAGAAAGGCATGGACCATTATTTCCAGCACTCGATACATAAATTGTATTATGTTTCCATACTGCTTCATTAATTACTTCACAAATTCTCCTAAAAAACAAAGAATTCCTTTGAGCAACTACAACTATTCCACATTTAATTTATAACCAAACAAATCACAATGATTCCAAACTGTTAACTGATAGTAGCTTTAAAAGAGCTGAGAACAACATTCACTCAGTTATATGACTACATATACATTAGCAGATAGGCTTTTAGTAGAACACAATGCCATTCCACCTGACATACCCTAGTTTCAGAGAATTGAGAAGTCATATTAAATGCAAGAAAAACATAAGATTAAGCCTAGCTGATGTCACACACCTTTACTTCTAGCCCTTAGAAGGCAAGGAGAGAAGTAGCTTTGTGAATTAGAAGCCATATCTGGTCCAGCCAAGGCTATGTAATGGGGCCCATTCTCAAAAAACAAAAACCAACTTGGAAAACAAAAAACCATAATGTTAACAAGGTTTGTGAAGTGGCAAGGTTGAGGGAAAAAATAAAAGCCAAACAAAACACCAAGGTAATTCCTGCATGTATTATGACCAGGGATTATTTGACTAAAAGGCCACTTAATATCTTTAGCGGGGGAGAGACTAGGAGAAAACCTGAGAATTTGAAAATCAAAGAAAGCTAGTTAGAAACTGACAGCAAGCAAGAAATGGCATTAGATAAGGGAGATGAAGAAAATGGACATTATAAAAAGGTCTAGTTCCAAAGGGTCCTGAAAAATCCAATGTGTGAGATACCTGACAAGAGATTCAAGTTCAATTACCAAAACACTAACATTGTGGCTCAGAATGCCTGTGACTCCAGGTCCAAGGGTTCTGCTGCCCTCTTCTGACCTCCATAGACATTGTGACACAAGTAACAAAACACACACACAAACACCAGACATGAGAGGGAGAAAAAACTTTAACTGATAAGATAATGAAAAAGTTATGAGATGATAGAAGGGGCAAGACTGCACTATAGAAAGAAACGGGTACATGTTAAAAGGGAAATATAATAATATTTCACAAGAAATCCAATAGCTTGAAAAAAGTGAGCCATCTGGTAACTATATAAGCCTCTAGATTGTTAAAGCTTTCCTTTTGACAGGACCTTAAATAAAGCTTCAGATACCAGATAACTAGCATATATTAATACTTTGGTGATGGAAGTGAAAGAAACATTGTTCGCTAAGTAAATGCTCTAAATATTTTAGCTACTTATTCATATAAAGGAAAGCAGCTAAGTTAAACAAGTTAAGGCCAACCCAGTACTGAAGTAGAGGAAAGGATATGGATGACATATGTTGTGTAACAGTTTGCTCTGAGATTGAAATAGTCCATCCTGCAAGGAAGCACCTTAAAGCAGAGAAGTAAGCAACTTAACATTGGCTTCCACAAATCCCTGAAACTGAGTACAAATACTAGGCCCCTCCATTCCAAAGTAAGCAATAAAAGCTGAGAGAAGCTAAGCTGCAATGAAGACTCTCAGACCACCAGCTGCCTGCAAGAAGCAGAAACCAGCTGATCTGCCTGGAAGAAATACTCTCCAACCTATAGAGTTTACTGTAGACTGTGCAATGTGCTCCCGGTTCCCAGCTTTAGGGAGATGCCACCCATGTTGGAGTTGGCTTTGATGATACAACTTTGAGTCATTTCTGCTCCTGCAAACAACCTCTCCCAATAAAACTCCTTGGTTTGGGCTGGAGAGATGGCTCAGAGGTTAAGAGCACTGCCTGCTCTTCCAGAGGTCCTGAGTTCAATTCCCAGCAACCACATGGTGGCTCATAACCATCTGTAATGAGATTTGGTGCCCTCTTCTGACCTGCAGAGATACATGTATGCATAATAAATAAATCTTAAAAACAAAAACCAAAACACCTCATTGGTTCATCAAATTAGGCTTTGGTGGTATCTATACTTTGGTCTGTTGTGGGCTTTCTCAGGTGAGTAGATGTGTGTTTTAACTGCGTAGGAAAAGTTTTATCACAACATTACAAGAAAGAAGGGGATGCTGGAGAGAAAGTAGAATGGACTGAGAAGACAGGGAAGCTTAGGAAGTGGAGCCAGTATGTGTAACAACAGCAGGTTTGGTAGTAAAGGTCAATAATCACCAAAGGGTGACTGAGCACATCTGGGCACCTGCCAGGAAGTACCACTGACAAGTCCCAGGACATCGGTGAATGAGCTTTTGGTGATGGGTGGATGGATGGCCCAACCCAAACCGGCTGGTAAGAAAAATGAAGAAGCAGGGACCAATGCCAGAGGGTTTGGTAGCTTATGAGTCTCAGAAGCATCATAGCAGACAGAGCAACCCTAGCTACGTCTGCTTGGAATGGTTTGGCAAGGTGTAATGACTGGAGCTGACATCAAAGACATGACATGGGAGTAAGGGTCTGACTTACAAAACACAATTATCTGCCCATCAGAGTTACATTTTACTGTAATTGCAATTCACTGACTTAAACCACTAATACTCTTAATTAGGTAGATTCTATGATGTAACAATGGCAAAAAAAAAAAAAAAACTTACCCAGAATTTGGCCAGTGAGTTGCTTCTCCATAACTGTAGTTGACAAGATCACACTTATGATTTATAACTTCTATCATCTATTAAAAGAGTAAGAATCTAGTTTAGGAAGTCATCTGTAGTCATTGTAATAAATAAGCTTTATAATCCTATAGTATCTAGACTAATGGTATCCTAATTTATAAGGTATTTCTAGGCATACTGTAATTAAAGTCAAAAGGTAGCGGAGGAAAGAATTCATGAAAGTGTCAATTAAAGTGAAACTATTCTCTTTAGAATATGGGAATCACAGAAGGAAACAGGGAGGCATTGATTGCGAATAGATTTAAAGGACCTTAAGTTACATGGCAAAGTGAATCAGATAATATTAAATTTATAAAGGGTTTTGATTTCCTTTTAGAGTCCTGGAGAAGGTTATATATTTATAAAAACCATCTTGAGAAGATTACTAAGAGATTTACTACAATGAGTATAAAATATTTTTTTTACAAAGACTTTAAGCCAAGAATCTTTTTCCTGACAATTTTAATTTTACATTGAATTAATCAGCACTGCCTTGCTTCTAAAAGTAAAATATACTGTTCTATATACCAAAATACGGTTTAATATACTCTTGAGAAACTAAGAGTGCTTCATGTAGGTTTCTAAGTCTCAAAATTATTAATCTATATCAAGAACTCCCAGATACTCACAGCTCTAATGAGACCTGTGCCTGTTTCCATGGTGCTCAGCCTTGTATCACCAATCTTAATGGATAGAATTTGAGCACCAGGAGCAACACCATTCCGTTCAGGCTCCTCTGGAAAATGCCCGGCAGCTATACTTGCTACATGGGTTCCATGAGCTCCTATAGACAGAAACAGTGTATGTGTAAGATGAAAATAGTCACCACATGCTAAAACTATAACCATTTCAACATTCACATTATGACAAAAATAATTTAATAAAAATACCACCTGTCATGTATTATCTTATATTCCTACCAATCACACAAAATAAACTTTAATTACATATTTTTTTTTCTTTATCCTGGATTCTACTCTGTAGCAAATAAAGAATGTAAGCCCAAGAAGACAGCCAATGTTTACAATACATGGAACTCACAAGTAACTTGTATCCAAAGTACATAAAATATATTCCATACCCAACAAAGTAGAGAAAGGAGTTAAAGACACCCTGTCCACCAAGCAAAATGGAGGAAAATTATGCACAAGACATACAAATATGAAAACACGTTTTACTTCGTTATTCATCTTGGAATTATAACTTGTTGTCACAATGAAGTATCTCTATATTTTTTAACATAGCTAAGATATTGATAGTTGACAATAGTTTAGAATATACCATACAATGTTCTTGTTTGAGAAATATGAACATAGGCATACTTATAAATTTAGCAGTCCCCCTTTTGCCCCAGTACCCAACAGAAAAGTACAAACACGTTTACCAAGGCATTCACAAAAACATTCATGGCTGCATTATTTGTATAATTCAAAATTCCAAATAACTTAGGATTCACTAAAAGTGAATGGGTATTTAACATATCAATCCATAGAACTGATATGAATTAATATGAATCAAAGTGAAGCTTAAAATAATGCTGACATAAATAAATAAAATAATGTTGAATTAAAGTAATATGAAAACTGGGTTAATTTCATTTACAAAACTGGAAAAAGCATAAACTATATGGACATTGAGGCTATTTTTATCACTTATGACTCAACACAAACACCACCACATGGAATAAAGTAATAAAGGAATGTAGTAATGAAAATCAAGATAGTAGTTAACTTAGGAGAAAGAGGTAAATGTTATTGCTTTTTATAATGTTAGCACACAAAATAATGAATTTCATTATGACTTTGTATATGTGTATTGTATTCTGATTTCACTCAGTCTTCATTATCTTCTTTTGAATCCTTATATCTCTGCTCTTTCTCAACAGTCACACCTTACTGCATTCTCTTTCTGTCTCATGTGCCCAACCCTGAGGGCATGAGCATGGTCTTTCCACTTATTTTTATATCCTCAGCATAAAAACACTTAAGTCTATCTACAATATTATTTGGCATGCTCTTCCACTTTATACAAGTGTTTTATGATATATTTTCACTACAATTCATACTTTACATTTATTATTTTTAATTATGTAACATTTTATATCATAACATGTGTATTTAAAATAAGTCTTGGATCGTTATCCAATAGCACACTATCAAATAGCTAACTTATGTGAACTTCCACAGAATATTATAATGATAATCTTTTTACTTCAGTCTCTGTACTTATGGGCGAATTTCTCAAGAGTTAATATTTACTACTGGATTTTCTGATGTTAAGATTTTGCTTTTATTTAACTATCTATACACAGTTACAACTTTAAAAGAGAAGAGAGTCAAATCACATCAAAGTTTCTAGGTTTTGGTTGTTCAATAGTAATTTCTATAATGAACTCACTAGCGCCTCACCCTGACCTGCAGGAATTTGTCATTCAGCCACTGCATGACTATCTCTCACTAGCAAATCTGATAAGCCAGATACCTCCACTGGTCACAATGGAGAGTAGGTTTCCATCATCATAAATATTAACAGAATAATTCAACATCTCAGCTGTGCCAAAAGAGCCGTATTCTTGGGCCTCTTTGTAGTTTCTCAATACAGTAGATTTACTCAAGTCTCCATTTTCATTTGAATCAACACAGGCTCTATTGGGAAGGAGAAATAGGTATTAAAATTTACCCTTCTTGTTCTGAAGATCACACAACACAGTTTGTCAGTAATCTTCTCACTGCTTACTTCTCCCACCACTCAAATACAATGACTAGATTCCTTTGTTTCACAGAGTAGGTCAGAAGTATCCCAGAAGTCAGTGCTAAAACCATGCATAAGGACACTGATGGTCACAGATAGTTTAGAAAATCATCAGGGCAGGTCGATATTAAAACGGAAGCTGACCTGAACAATGGGAAGCTCATGGACTCCAGACTGATAGCTGGGAAACCAGCATTGGACTGACCCAGGCTCCCTGAAGGCCTGGGCAGTCTACAGGACCTCTGACAGTGGAGCCAGGATGTATCCCTGGTTCACAAAAGGACTTTGGGAACACATTCCCTATGGAGGGATACTCCCTTAACCTACAGACAGGAAGGAGGGAGGGCCTAGGCCCTACTCCAAATAACTTGACAGATTTTGATGATCCCCCCTGTAAAGCATCACCCTCCCTGTGGAGTGGGTGGGGAATGAGATGGGAGAGGGGGTGGGGAGGGCATGGAAAGATGGGAGGGAGAGGGAACTGGGATCGATATGTAAAATAAGAAAAAATAATAATTAAAAAAAGTTAAAAACCAAACTCGAAGCTTGGGTTGGAGTGAGGGCTAGTTTAGGATGGTTCAGACACAAAGGAAAGCCCATACTTCCTGATGCCACTTTGAGTGCTGATGCTGTGAATCCAGTAGCCTCTAGAGCTTCCTGATACCACATGTCTATAAACTTCAAACTTGAGTCACATTTAGCTTTAGGAGAACATAAGTTTTATAACAAAACAAAATTTTCGCCTAATTTTATGGTTCTCTTCCTACCCGCTATTTACCCATTTTATTCAAAAGATATATATTTTAAATACATTATTAGATAGTCTGTTTAAATCAATCTAATTGAAAAAAAAGTCAAAAATGTTATGTAAACATCAAACCTTTGTGTATAAGTGCTTTTGTGTGTGTATGTGTTTTGAGACAGTTTTATTACAGTCCCAAATGGCTTGACAGTCACTATGCAGTCCATGCTGGTCTTGAACTTGTGGCAATTCTTCTGTCTTAGCCCACCAAGTATTGAGACTGCACATATCCATCATTATGCCTAACCCAGGATTGAACACTTAAATTCTATTTTACATTGCCAAGCTAATTTTGCTATTTAAAACATCTCTGCCCAAATTTTCTTCTTTTACCTTCAACATGTTTTTAGTCAATTCTCTACTACAATATTTGTGGTTACTTTGCAAACTTTCCAGTTTTAACAAGGAGCATTTTCCCCCACATATCTCAGTGATCCACCTGCCAAAATGTGGTTAATTAAGATTTTAAAAAATAGATAAGTGTAATGTTTAATGTAAAAAGTACTAAGTCTAAAAGGCTCATCTACAACTACCAAAAGCTGATTTGGCTCTCACATAATGTTAAGTGGCATGGTTTTATAAACCAGAATTTTGTATAGCTTTAAGGGCTTACAGTTCTTCAGAGTAGATAAAAATATTTTTAATGAAGAAGATCAACAAAATACTTGAGTTTACCTCCAGGTCTCACCATCATGCCACACCAAGCAGTCATACACAGGGCCTGGATCACTATACTTTTTCTCAAAAGAATTAAGTAATTCCACTTGACTTTGCAACTCTTCTTTGATTAATTTATTGGCCTATTAATTAGAAAACAGATTAATATTAGAATATGTTTTATGTAACTGAAAGTTGTAGTAACATATAACCAAAGGCAGTGTTGAACAAACGGGAGAAAAAAAAAATCACTTCACTTTGGAAAAATAATAAAAAACAAAATGTTTTTGCTGTGTTGGAAACTCCAAGTCTAGGGCTTGGAGTGTGTGGCAAGTAAGTGCTCTACCACTAAGTCTATCCGCAGTCTACAGGTCCAGTTTTGATTAAGAAATGGTATATATTCATGATAAAAGAACAATTAAAAAGGATAAACACTAAATTGTGACTTTTTCCTGGGATCACAAAATGAAAGCTTTTCATTTGTCACTTGTTAAGATGCCTGGGTTGTTCAAAGTTGCTTCAATTAGTATATTATTTTCCTAATAAACCAAGACAAAATGCTTACTGCTAATGAGTTCACATATGTGGTAATTTCATCGAAGTCTTTCAATGCATTCTCAAGGAATAAAAAGTTTTCAATGTTAATCATTCCATAAGAAGCTGTGACCTTACTGGGAGACCTGAATTTTAAATTACATTTTCATTGAATATTTCCACAGAGTATAGTTCTTTTTAAGAATTATTAAAATTAACAGCATTTTGTTCTTTAAACAACTTTCATTCAAATTATAGTATGACAATGGCTAGAACTGTTTAAAATATAATTTTGAAAAAAGTATGAGACTAACCTTAGAATATTGATTTATTGTTCCTGAACCCCACAGTAACACACAAGAAGGTTGAAAACATTGAAAAACTTGTTAGCATTTTCAATCTTGTAAGTCTAAATTGTAACACAGTTGACAAATAAATATACCTTGGATTTTTCTGTTTAAAGAAAATGCATAAAAACAAAAACCCACAAAGACATTATTTTCACTTATGAACTGATTAAAAATTGAGATGAAGGCTCAGTGGTTAAGAGCAGTTGCTACTCTTACAAAGGACTTAGTTTTATTTCCCAATACCCACTTAGTGGCACATAACTCTGTAATTTCAGTTCCAGACAATTTACTGCCCTCTTTACTCTCTGAGACAACCATGCACACATGGTGTAGGACAAACACTCATACACATAAAATAAAATTTTTTAAAAATTTAATGGGTACACTTGTATGTCTCTGGTGGGAAAATAAACTAGCATAATCCTTACGATTCACAAAAAGCTATACCCAACAATGTTTTAAATGATATTTTTCTGTTTTAAAAAAGATTTATTCTGTGCCTTTAATTCTAGCACCCTTGAGGCAGTAATCAGATCTCTGTGAGGTTGAGGCCAGCTTTATTTTGAATTTACATTTTGAATTATGTTTGAGTGTTTTGTATGTATCTGCACCATCTGATACCTGTAGAGAGGCCAGAATGCATTGGATCTCTTGGAACTAAAGTTACAGACTAACTCCTTGAGAGCAGCTAGTGTTCTTGAAAGCACTAAATGTTCTTAACTGCTGAGCCATTTCTTTAGCTCCTAAAATGACATTATTCTTAACACTCAACACAAAAAACAAAGCCAGTACCGATCTGCAAAGTGAACAAACTGTATTATACCCATAAAAATAGATTATCATACAGAAATATAATAAACTGTACTACTTAGGACATGGCAGATATCCTCACATTCTCAGCAAAAGAAATTGCATAAAAGCTCTGTATGGTTCCATCTTACAAACTTCAAAGAAACACAGGATGATAAATGTCTTGTGGGGGGACAAATGAGACAGTGGCTAGAAGAGGCACAGAGGAATTTCCATGTATAGCTGGTAAAGACTTCATGGCTATATTTTAAAATAGTCATAATACACATGTAAATTGATGTGGTATAAATAATGTCAGAACTTTTAACCCACTGAGAAAAAAAGTTGTCAATGGATGAACCCTATGAAAATGCAGTTGACTAATAAGATGAGCATGTGGTTTTTTTCTTTTATTTGTTTAGATAGTGCATTACACTGACAGATTTCCATACGTTGAACTAACCCTGGATCTCTGGGATGACTCCTACTTGGTCATAGTGCATGATTGTTTTGATATGTTATTGGATTTGGGTTTGCCAGTATTTTATTAAGTATTTTTACATCAATGTTCAGGATTAAGACTGGTCTGTCATTCTCTTTTTTTGTTGCATTTTTGTGTGGTTTGGGTTACTGTAGCCTCATGAAAGGAGTACTGTTCCTTCTGTTTCTATTGTGTGGAACAATTTAAGGGGTATTAAAATTAGCTCTCATTAGATACTGAAATGACCTTCGACAAAATCCAACACCCTTTTATGATAAAGGTCTTGGAGAGACCAGGGATACAAGGAACATATCTAAGCATAAAGCAATATACAGCAAGCCAACAGTCAACATCAAATTAAATGGAGAGAAACACAAAGGGATTCCACTAAAGTCAGGAACAAGGCAAGGCTATCCACTCTCTCCATATCTATTCAATTTAGTACTCAAAGTTCTAGCTAGAGCAATAAGACAACAATAGGAGATCAAGGGTATACAAGCTGGGAAAGTAAGAAGTCAAACTTTATTTGCGATGATATGATAGTATACATAAGTGACCTCAAGAATTCTACCAGGAACAATAAATGTGGTAGAATACAAGATGATCTCAAAAAAAAAAAAAAAAAAAAAAAAAACACATTAGCTCTCCTCTATACAAATGATAAGTGGGCTGAGAAAAAAAAAATCAGAGAAACATCACCTTTTACAAATAGACACAAATATAAAAATATATTGGGTAACTCTAACCAAACAAGTGAAAGACCTGTATGACTGACAAAGAAAGAAAGGGGGGGGGGGGGAAGGAAAGAAGGAAGGAAGGAAGGAACGAACTGAAGACGGCATCAGAAAATGCAAAGATCTCTCATGCTCCTGGAAAGGTAGGATCAACATAATAAAAATGGCAATCCTACCAAAAGCAATCTACAGATTCAATGCAATTCCCATCAAAATTTCAGCACAATTCTTCGCAGACCTTGAAAGAACAATACTCAACTTTGTATGGAAAAACAAGAAACCCAGAATAGCTAATGCAATCATGTACAATAAAGGAATTTCTGGAGGCATCACTATCTGTGACTTCAACTCTACTATAGAGCTACAGTAATAAGAACAGCTTGGTATTCGCATAAAAACAGACAGATCAATGGAATAAAATCAAAAACCCTGACAGTAATCCATACACCTATGAACACCTCATTTTTGACAAACAAGCCAAAATGGTGCAATGGAAAAACGAAAACATCTTTAACAAATAATGCTGGCATAAGTGGGTGTCAAAATATAGAATATTGCAAACAGATCCATTTCTATTGCCACGCACACAACTCAAATCCAAGTGGATCAAGGACCTCAACATAAATCCAGCTATACTGAGCCTGATATAAGAGAAAGTGGGAAGTAGTCTTGAATGCACTGGCATAAGAGACCACTTCTAAAAAATAACACCAGTAGCACAGACACTGAAAGCAACAATTAATAAATGGGACCTTCTAAAACTGAAAAGCTTCTGTAAGGCCAAGGATACCATCAATAAGACAAAATAACAGCCTACAGAATGGGAAAAGAGCTTCACCAACCCCACATCTTACAGAGGGCTGGTCTCCAAAATATATAAAGAACTTAAGAAACTAGACATCAAAATACAAAATAACCCAATTGAAAAATGAGGTACAGAGCTAAATAGAGAATTCTCACCAGAAGTATCTCAAATGGCCAAAAGGCATTTAAGAAAGTGCTCAATCCTTAATCATCAGAGAAATACAATTCAAAACAACTTTGAGATACCATCTTACACCAGACAGAATAGCTAAGATTGAAAATACCGAAGAGGATGAGGAGAAAGGGGAACACTCCTCCACTGCTGGTGTGAGTGCAAGCTTGTATAGCCATGTTGGAAATCAGTATGGCGGTTTCTAAGAAAATTGGGAATCAATCTACCTCAAACCCCAGCAACATCACTCTTGGGCATATACCCAAAGGACACTCAATCATATCACAAGAACACTTGCTCAACAATGTTTATAGCAGCATTCATAATAGCCAGAACCTAGATGCCCATCAACTAAAGAATGGGTAAGGAAAATGTGGTATATTTTCACAATGGGGCACTACTCAGCTATAAAAAACAATGACATTATGAAACTTTCAGGCAAATGGATGGAACTAGGGGGAAAAAAACCATCCTGAGTGAGGTAACACAGACTCAGAAAGACAAACACGGTATATTATTCGCTCATAAAACGATATTAGATATAAAGCAAAGGATAACCAGACTACAATTCACAGCTCCAGAGAAGCTAGGTAACAAGGAGGACCCTAAGAAGAGAAATTAGATGAGATCTAGTGGGTAAACTGGGGCCTCGAAGGGGATGGGTGGTAAGGGAGATGGGAGGGGTGATGAGAACATGATGGAAAAGGATGGTGGAGGGAATAGGGGATGCAGTGGAAGAGCAATGAAAGAGCTATCTTAATAGAGTCACTATGGGCCTAGGGAGAAACCTGGTGCTAGCCTAACTCCCAAAAATCCACAAGGATGACCCAACTGAGACTCCTAGCAACAGTGGAGAGGGTGCTGGAACTGGCCTTCCCCTGTAATCAGATTGGTGAATACCCCAACTATTATCATAGAGCCTTATTCCAGCAATTGAAGGAACCAGATGCAGAGATCCACAACTAAGAACCAGGCCTAGCTTGGGAATCCAGTTAAAGAGAGGGAGGAGGGAATAAATGAGCAAGGAAAATCAAGATCATGATAGAGAATCTACAGAGACATCTGAACCAAGCTCCTGGAAACTCCTGAACTCTAGCAGTAGAGACCAAAAGGGACTAAATTAGGCTCTATACATGTGAGAGACAGTTGTGAAGCTTAAACTATCTGAGGGGCTCCTGGCAAGACCACAATATAAAAATGGTACATGAGCTAGCTTGTTGGAGCCCATTCCCTATAGTGGGATGCCATGTTCACCTTTAATGCTTGGGAGAGGGCTTGGACCTGCCCCAACCTATTTTGACAGAATTTGTTGACTCTTCATGAGTCATGACTCCCCATGAGGGGGAGTGGACTGGAGGTGGACTGGGGGAGGTAGGTGGGTAGGAGGAGGGATGGGAGGGATAACTGTGGCTGGTAAGTAAAGTGAAATTTAAAAAAATAAATTATATATATACAGTTTACTGAATCCTTTAGAGAATACTAATAAAATTCTTTGTTGAAACTTTCAAATTAAAAGTGAGTAGCACCAACTTGGGAAGAGCCATTGTTGGCAATATCAAATTCTTCTTGTTTTCTACAAGCTTCTGCAAGCGCAACTCTGTGAATTGGATCCCAGATTTTTTCCTTCCGTTCTTTCTGCAAAGGAAAAAAAAAATCATCTGGCAATCAGGCAGACACAGTAGTCAGGTCAACGAACATGGTAATGTTTCCACCTTGCCAACAGTTCAGATACTACAAAACGCTCAAACAAAGGCTTATAAAACCATTCTAGTAAAGGAAGTAGTAGACCAATTAATGAAGCTGGTTAGGAGAACATGTTTATCAAGTCACACAAAATAATTTTATATCATTATTCCCCAACTTATACCCACTCTTCTTTAAAATGTGGTCTATCATATCAGGAACCCTGCAAATGAGAGTAGAAAATACTCACTCCTAGACCTATACAAAGTTGGAAGATGTAGATAGACAACAAAGTGATGATTAAAAAAAAAAAAGACTGTAGATTCACAGGGAAGTGCAGAAATCCTCAATCATTCCTGTACAGGAGTCATCATCCTCATTCATTGGACAGGGCTCCATGCTTCTGAAACTGATCTTAACATAGTATCTCCTAACAAAAGTCTTCTAGATAAAAGAATCCTTTCAGCAAACTAATAAACTGGTCCACAATATGATCTATATTCACATGTCAATTAGTTCCTTATAAAAGCTGACTGAATATAATACACCAATTAAATGTCACAACATTTGTGTGTTGATGTTCAATCAAAGCTATGTGCATTAAAATAACTTCTGACTCATGGATCTCAAAGGAAGAAAAATATACTGTGATAGCACCCACATGCATCAGGATTACTGTCAAGACTATAGCTTGATTTACAGCTGAAGTACTAGACTCACATCAGAAACTACTGTCATAGCAGTGTTCAGAAATGGCACTGTGCAATACAGTAACGTATAGCAGTTCCCTTATTAGAGCAGATATTAAATATTTCAAATATCTGCTTCATCACAGAAAGTTCCAGTCACAGCAGCTCTTTAAAGCAAATTCCTAACCACAGAAGAGGGCATCAGATTCCCTGGAACTAGAGTTATAGGTAGTTATAAGTCATTTCACGTGGATGTTGGGAATTGAACCTGGGTTCCATGCAAAGGCAGTAAGTTCACTAAGCTGCTAAGTTATCTCTACAGCCTAACTTGTGTTTCTTATACACATACTTCAAAAGCCTTACATCTGATTAACAGAGTAGTATTAAATGATGACAATCTGAGAGCAAGAAGACTAGACAACAAGATAAATGGGGCAATTTTTCTTAGTCAACACAAGAACAAAAACAAAGAGGTCTATACATTAAAAAAGTTCTTTCAATAGTCTAAAGCTCAGTTTTATGTCATCTACCCAAAAAAGCCTGAGCTTTAGTTTTGCTTTAATCTTCCTTAAAATTTCTAGTCCATGAACCCACTTTAGGTAAAACACAAAAATTTGAAGTCTTTCAAAATCCAAGTCCCTAGAAGATTTAAGATTTCATGAAACTACAAAAGCAAAAATAAATAAATAAATAAATGAATGAATGAATAAATAAATAAATAAAGCCCCCCTTTTCCAAGTAGGAATCCAATCTAAGCATATACATATGCAAGCAACTGATACCAGGTTTCTCATTACCTGTATCCTTTCTTTGAGAGCCTTTGGATAGAAGTCATAGCCATTTTTAATGCCAATATGATATTTTCCCGAAGGATTTGTCCAGCTTGTAGGAATCTGTAAGTAAAAAAAAATTGTTCATTCAATTCCCAATGCCAATGATACACCACTGTGAGGTCAAACTATTTCAAATCTACTCTACTGACTCACATTGGGTAGAGGCTTATGTAGATGAGAAATACTTTTCATATTCTAAGTGGTCACTTAATGTCACTATGGCTTTATAGTTTATAAAATCCTCTGAAAATGTATTACATCATCAAACCACTAAGATTATTTTGTAGTTCTTAAACACTGCTGATACCTCATTTTTCCCTTTATCACACTTGTGCCAATGAAGTAGCAGGGAGGAGAAGCAATTTTCTAAACTCACTCCACACTCAGATTTCCTACACCTCATTCTTCTACAACACATCTATACAGATAATGCACAGATATTAAACAGGGCTCTTTGAATCCTTATGGACAAAGCACCATGAAATCATGTTAATTTCATTAAAGATCTGTAACACTATCTCAAATTATCTCATCTTTAAAAATAGCTTTTAATATAGAAAAATGACATGAAATGAATTATATACAAACAGGAAGGCAAAAAATTGGAATCTTGTTCCATGATGGAATTCAGTTCAAAAGATACAAGAATTTAAATCAGATAAACATGGCTGTGACTCTAAACTTCACCGCTAATGAAGGCGGGTACATTTATTATTTATTTATTTCCTCTTGTGTGCAAGAGAAAAAAATGTCCCATAATCCTACCCTTATCACTATTTTTGGGGAATGGTGGGGGGGGGATATGTGGGATCTGTCTATTCTTTGAAGAAAAACTAACACAGTTTAAGAGAAGTTGGTTCAGGAAAAGCAAGCAAGCACTCCAAGGAGAGGGGAGAGTGTGTTGTCTCAAGAGGTGACAGCAGTGGAGGTCTAACACATATGCCTTAGAGAAGTTCCTATGAATATTTATGTGGGTAACATATTCGAGGTAAATGACTATGTCATTTACCCTCTTATCTTCCCAAATCATGGTAGAATTTAAAACCACAAAGTGAATAATGAAGCCAAGGTCTCTTGAGGATGTAGGCTCTTCACTAGTGCATTGGTGGGAAAATATCTTGATACCTTAGCCTCTGACATACTGAGAACAACCAACCTATCAGGCAACCTCAGGCCATTTAACTACAAAGGGATATTATGAAAAGGCAAATGCCAAGATACATTAGCAGTTTTCCTTTGAGACTGGCTCAAGATTCATGATTGTTCTCATGGTCTCTGTTGTTTGACATATTCTACTTCAGGATTAAGATTGCCTGTCACTTTAAAGCTTGATTTATCAGGAAAGCTGGGATTTGCAATAGACAGGCAGACAGGCTGCTCTACTACTACTCACATCTATCTTCTACCCAACAGGGAAGCTGGGGAGAGAACTACTTTATGGTTCTTATGCATAATAAAATGCAATGAGCATCAACCAACTTAAAACATCAAAATCTATTCTGATTCATCCTATTATGGAAAAATAGCTGTTAGCTATAGACTAAACACAAGGTTGAACAGCCAACAACTCACATCTGGTTGGCTATGCCTTTAATCCCAACACTTGGAGGCAGAGGCTGGTGGATCTAGGTGAGTTTGAGGCCAGAATGGTCTATATAATGAGCTACAGGGCAGCTAGTGTTACACAGACAGAGACCCTATCTCCAAAAAGTAACAACAAGAAATCCCCCCCAAAAAAATCTTCATTTGTTTCACTTATACAGTATCTTTCCCCACCTCATTCCACATTCCATAGCAATTATTTTCCACATAGAAAATTTTTGGGTGAAAATTTCATAAAATTGAACATATGAAAAATTATCAAAGGCTCATGTTTTAACTAATAATTTGAGAGTCAACTGGCTATCATCCATTGTCAGAAAATATGTTCTTCATATCCTTGTAATGCCTTGATGTAACAAAAACAATGCCAAAATTTCACAACAAAATGCTACTACCAGGCAACATAAATGTACCTTTGTACCACTGTACATGTAACTTTGTAAATTTTGCCTAGTCATGCTATATAAACTTAGGCAATTATGGAATGTCATTTTATGGAATTAAGTCATGTGTGATATCTTTGAGAAACAAAGCTTTATATTTACACCATTTAAAATTTAAAGAAACATTTAAAATGGTTCAAAATATATATATATATTAATAACAATTGTATTTTTAATGTGTGATGTATGTCTGTGTGGGTGTATGCACATGTTGCACATATGTAGCACATGGAAGTCAAAGGTTGATGTAGAATTCCTGTACTACTTCCCATCTTGTTTTCTGAGACAGAGTCCCTCATTAATCTGAAGCTAAGACAGCTAGCCACTGAGATCCAGGAATCCTACTGCTTCACCTTGAAGTGCTGAAGTTACAGAGAATGCTACCACACCATTGGTATTGGGAATCTGAATTCAGGTCCTAATGCTCATACTGCAGATACTTCATCTAATGAGCGCTCTCTCCAGTACCCACTGAGATCCCTTTTGTCTCTTTTTTAAAGATAGGATTGAAAATCCCTGTGTGTGTAGTACATAATCTCATTAATTAGGAATTACAGTTCATTTCTGAAACACTTAAAGAGAGGTAACTAACAAATGGGACATTTTTCTTAATGAAACAAATGGCTCCCTTAGTTATTTCAGTCTTGCCAACTTCATAGCAAATGCCTCTATACTCACACATTATTTGCTCTGGCTATGCTACATCTAATCATACTCTTCTGGATGCCTGTATTAAATTTTTAGAAGATTTTTCAATATTTGAAACTAAATATAGATTATTTAAAAAAAATGGTTTAACTTAAATGGTGTAAAGTGAAAATAGCATGGTGTTTCATTATGCTACCAAAAATAGAATGAAATACAGAACTACTAGAAAACCACAAGACAAATAGAACTGAGAAATAAGACTTAAAGGTGAGCCCAACCTTTTGACATTGTTAACAGAACACTATCATACACAAAGTTCACAACCCAGAGACTGTCTCTCCTCCGCCCCCCATATCTTAAATAAGTTTATGACATTTTCTTGGACCACACCAATAGCTCTTGGCTCAAATGTCTCCTGTGAGCCTCAGGGTGGACATTAAGTATGCTAACACACTTTGAAGGTTGCAAAGTAAAAAGAAAGATGTAAGGATTACGGGGAAACCAATGAAATGTTAATATGTGATATAGGCACACTAGGGTTTCTTATGGGAAAAATAAGACTCGTACTTCAAACTAACCATAATAAAATTCCAGCCAAATTCTCTAGAACAAATAAGAAAACAAACAAACAAAACAAAACAACAACAACAACAAAACAACAAAAACCCCACCAAACCCACAGGAATACAGGGAATATCTTCATATTCATAGCCATACCCTTAATTATGTTTCAGAGTTTTCATTGTGTATGTATACGTAAAAAGTGAAAAATGGCTATAAAAAAGAACCCTGCAGACCAATACCAAAATAATGGACAGTTTACTAGTATTAAAAAGCAAACAACAATAAATTTAAAAAGGTAAATGAACTTTTTACTTTTTTTCTTTTTTTTCCCCAGAGACAGGGTTTCTCTGTTTGGTTTTGGAGGCTGTCCTGGAACTAGTTCTGCAGACCAGGCTGGACTCAAACTCACAGAGATTCGCTTGCCTCTGCCTCCCAAACTTTTAGTACTTCATAAGAAGAAATCCAAAAGCTCAAATCTGGGAAAAGATAACTAATTTCATTAGGCAAATGCAAATTAAACCTACATGATATATTGAGGTTCCCATCCTTTTGAAAGAATGTTTTTTAAAGTCCTTAAAACAAATTATTTGAAGTTAAGAGCTGTCCAGGCTTGGTGGTACACACCGATAATCCCAGCACTTGGAATGTGGAGGCAAGAAAATCAGGAAGAGTACAAGGCCAACCTCAGTTGAATGGTAAAGATGTTAGAAATCACCTACTGAAACTGTACCTCCATGACACAGCAATTCTACTTCGACTTCTGGCATACAGCCTGCAGACATCCGCACACATGCACCGGAAATGTGCATAATACTTTCAAAAGAACTGTTAGTTAACAGTCCCAAACTGCACAAGAACAACTCAATACAGCAGAGCAGATAGAAAGTGCTGTATAGAAATCGTACATTACTTAGCAAAGAAACTGAACAAACTACTGTTACATCCAATAGTAATAAAGACAAGTCAGCCTCAAATCTTACAAACACCAACAACAGGAAGAAGAACTGATACAGAAATGAGGGCATTCACGAAAAGTTAAAAGTAGGGAAAGTTGAGTAATGTATATTCTGTATCTGCACAAAGGTGATACAACACAAACAAAGAAATGATTATCACAAAACCTGAAACAGCTTGTGATCTGGAAGGACTAAAGGCTGTACAGAGGATTATCATCCCTAGACAATGGCTACCGAAGTGGTCATAGTATTACCTGTACCTGGTCTTAAACAGAAGAATAAGGCTCTGTTCACTGTTTATGAGCCATTTGGAAGAAGGAGAAATAAAGACAGATATTGACTTTACTGTAACACATGGCTAAGTCAAAGAGAATTATTGTGCTACTTTCAAAAATGGTGCCCCAAAGAGCTAAGGTGAGCCAAGAAGCCATGGTACCAGTGACTAATAATTATTCCTTACTGACTACTGAAAAGTATCTCAATACCTCTGTAAGTACATTTTATGCATGGATAGGGAAGGGAAAAGATTGGCAGAAAGTCTGTATGAAGAGTAATTAGTTTTCCACCATCCTATTCCACAAGCTACTCAAACTTAACCAATCAGTAGCTCCCCCAATGTGGATTAGGAGGCAAGTCCAGATGTCAACTCCCTGGAGAATATGAATAGCAAATGAAGCAATAAAACTTACCGGAATGCAATCTGCATGTAAATAACAGGCAAACTTAACTTAATGGTTCTATCTTATTTATTAAGGAATTACACATTACATTTAATTCCTACTTTTGATCATTAGTAACAATACTTCATATAGCTTATATAAAGCTTAGGTTATTACAGTTATCTAAAAATAAGCAAATAAAAATAATTATGTAGGTCTAAATCTACAGGGCTCACTAGAAGTATGATCTACTGTCTTAGTACATTAATGCACTTCAAACTAAGTCTTCTTGTTTTGTTTGTTTGTTTGTTTGAGACAAGGTTTCTCTGTGTAGCCTTGACTATCCTAGAACTCACTCTGTAGACCAGGTTGCCCTCAAATTCAGAGATACACCTGCTATATAGGCAATTACTTTCTCTGTTTATCTATGCAAAAATTAAAACCTTATGTTGACCTCAACTGAAAAAAAGAATCCCAATTACAAGTACTTTACTGGAAAAACAAATTCTAACATGACTCTAATGATCCACACCTTAGACTATGCATGCTGTTGTGAGATACCTCTTCCAAGTGTCTGCTGATTTATTGACTGACTTCCAATAAACAGACTACAATGAAGAAATGCACTGTCACTTGTAAGCTAACCTTATAAAACAAAAACAAACAAAAAAAAAAAAAAAAAAAAACATGACTTTCTCATTGACTATTCTCTTACATCTCTTGTCCTGAGAGAAGATAGGTGGCATACTATACTATAAATCAGCTGTGTCAAGAGGGCCATGTAGCAAAGAAACAAGGTATAATGGTTGGTGCAGCTTTTAATCCCTGTACTTGTGAGGAAAAGCAGGCAGAACTTTGTGAGATGGAGGCCACCCTGGTCTACCTAGAGTTCCAGGATGAAAAGGACTACATAGAGAGAACCTGTCTCAAAAACAAAATAAACAAACAAAAACACAGTTATGTCCATATAACAGCCAACTTCTTAATGCATCCTAGCCAAGCCTTTAAATGAAACCACAATCATGTTCAATAATTTACATCTTTATGAGTGAGAAATTCACAACTATAAGCTGTTGGGAAACTCCACCCAGCCCCATTCTTCCCATTTCAGACCCAGCACCTGAGAAAGCCCACCAAGATAGCTTCTCCTCCCACCTCCCCCACCAGATGCTCAAATACCTACAGGGTATTTACGATGAGATCCCTGGACCTGCCACATGGAGAGCACCCAGGAGTTGCTTAGCTCAGATTAAAACCTGGTTTTGTTAATTTGGTTTGACTAGGCTTATTGTATTTGTGGAGGATACCCAATAACTGGGAATCCAAAACTTACCATAAGCATCCATCAACATCACAACCTACATTCCAAGAAGACAGTAATGGAACATCTTCTCCTTATTTTAAACCAAGAGCTTTTGGAATAATTCACTTTACAAGTAACAGGTAAATACTACTCTACTACCAATTTAAGGTAAAAACATTATATGTTTTGAAGAAACATTACAAAATGAAGGAAATAAACCAACAAACCAAAAGAACCCATTCTATAAGAAAAGAAATGTTTCAACCTTAAGCACTCTTCCAGAAAGACCAATAATTTCACCATCTTTTGGTTCTACTTCTGTAGCAGTATTCACATCACCACTTCCTGTGGTATCAATGATATCAATGATTTTTGGTTTTCCATCAGTTGTAACCTAAAAATTAAGGCAAATAAGATGAATTAGTTTCTGTCTTTAAAGAAAGTAAGTCCATGGGTGTGTGTATATATACATATATAGTTGCCTATGACATTTTCATTTTTATTAAAAATATAATTGAATTAAGTCAAACTTACAACAAACATTAATGAAAAAATTAGTCATGGAACAATATACAACCCTTCAAGTGGTTTCATATCTTTCTTTAATATAGCAGTTGTCAGTACACAAAAATCCCCTATCTTACAAATAGCAGAGTGAGGAAGTAGACAATAAATAAACATGTAAGATACTGAGAAATTAAGTAAAAGGGAGGAAATAAGAAGTACAGATTTTCCATTTTAACTTGTTTGGGCAAGGAAGGCCTTGCTAAGAAGGCAACATTTGAGGAAATATCTGAAGAAAGTGAGCTTTGGGCTGGATAGAAAACAGTACTATTTCATTAGTGAATGTCACACCAGTACTTCAAATTCCAAGGTTAAAGGCAACATACTACCAAATTTGTTTTTCTCCAAATGTTGTCTTTTTAGGTCTCTTCATACACAAATTGCTCAAAACAGAAACAGAAGTCTTTCTCTGATTATCTAATATATATCTTGTACCACAGCTATGAGGAAGTACTTCCTCTAAAATGGAATTCAAATCTATTTTTTCTACTTTTGATCACCATTGTGCCAACTTGCCAAACTTTAGCATCTCTTCCTTTTATAATGTACGTACCAGCTTCTTAATCTGAGTTGAGACTATTTACTTATTGAAACAATCTTTTCTCATTTTACATACCAGTCCCAGTTCGCACTCCCTCCCCTCCTCTGTCCCCCCCCCCCCATTTACTCCTCAAAGAGGGTAAGGCTTCTCATGGGGAGCCAACATAGTGTGTGGCATATCACTTTGAGGTAGTACCAAGGCCCTACCCTCATTCCCCCTATATCCAGACTGAGCAATATATCCCTCCAAAGAGAATGGGCTCCAAAAAGCCAGTTCAAGCACTAGGGGATAAATCCTGGTCCCATGGTCAGTGACCCTACAGACTGCCCAAGCCACACAACTGTCACCCACATTCAGAGGGCCTAGTTTAGTTCTATGCAGTCAGGATTCAGTGAATATCAGACTTAAAGCAAAGGATAAAATCCACTCTTTATGAGAGTCCTCCAACTTAAGCTGTGTGGTCTCACCAAAACTCTGGTAACAGTAAAAAGTTACTGAATATGCAACAAACAAAACTTAACTCAAAACTAAATGTGTAATGAATCCAAAGAGTCTGTGGCAGCACTTATGCCAGCTGCATTGTATAAACATTGCGGCCTTGGTTTTGAACATTCAACATCCATATTTACACTGTGCATGCCATCATTCTACAAAATTCATTGAACACCTGTTTGAAATACTCCAGGCTAACTTTGATCCTTTTGTATTCTTTGTACTGCAGTAATTTTACTGCATGAAATTTCTACTCTTATAGAAATGGGTTAATTCTAGAAATTAAATCTTTTAATATCCCCCCACTACTCCTCAGCATGTAAATATCATATTTATCTTTATACTGGATTGTGTTAAATAAGTTTATTTACCTGATTGAATATGCACATGTTTTGACTTTACTTAGTAAACAGATTTTATTTTTTCTTATGTGTTTGCGTATTTCTATGTGTCTGTCTATATGTATATATATATACACATACATACATACATATATATATGCGTGTGTGTGTGTGTGTGTGTGTGTGTACCACATGTCCCTCCTGCCCTCAGAGGCCAGAAGAAGATGATGAATCCTCAGAACTGGAGTTGAAGGTTGTCAGCTGCTATGTGGTTGGGAACTGAACTCACATCCTCTGCAGGATCAGTTTAACCACTGAGTCATCTCTCCAGCTCCTAAAATAAACTTCTTTATGATTTGTCAGTAAATGCTTGATTTCCATACCTAGGGTTGTGTAAAATTTCATGGGCAAAAAGCTCAGTTACAAGTGAAAAACTTTGAAGAAGCCCTACATAAATCATGTTCTTAACGGTGTTCCTTTCTGAGCTGTCTCCCAGTGAATATACTATTAAGACAAACTGTGTTTTATTCCTTCTCTCTTCCCACAGATTCATAGTGCACACAGAACATTCCCTGTAAAATGCTCACCACTTTTGCCTCGACTATTTTCATACAATCCTCCTCTTTAGAATTCTGTATTGCTTCACCCGTACAACAGCATTTGATAGTACATTTCTGTTTTCTAGTGAAGTTATTATCACCCCTTCAGAAAAATCTCCCTAAATGATCTTTCATATGTTCACCACCCTCAACTTCATACTGCACACTGTTCACTTCACAGGACATAATCCAATGTTCAACAACACAGCAGGTGACTTTCATCAGTTTCATGTTAGAGCATAAGCTCTACAAGGACAAGTGGTATCTCCATTCGACTTGCAAATATACACCCAAAAACAAATACTGCTTGCTGGTTATTAACATTTTCTTTTTACTCCTGAATGATCCAACTTAGCATCAGCTCTAATAATTTTGAAAAGTTATGTTTCTTTAGTAGCCATAAATTTTCATATGAGCCACAATACCACTGCTACAGAAACTGTAGTATATTTTCATGGAAGAATGGTTGATAAGGTTCCTCAGGGCTAGTTTTGCAAAAGAAAGTCATTGCATTCAATATATACTTAAGGAACACACATACAATTAAAGAACCTCAATACTGATCATAGTGGTTGTTCTAATATATAATGTATTTCCACCAAGGGTTTCTAAGGATCTTATTGCCCTCCTCAACCTCATCCTTACCAGCATCTATGGTTTTTTACTGATAGAAGTTCTGAGTTAGTTAAGCTGGAATCTCAATACAGCATTGGCTTGTGTTACCTTGATGGCTAAGGATGCTGAACTGTTTTGTGTATTTACTGGATAGTTGTAGAATTTTAAAATTAATTTATTTAGTGAGTATAGATATCTGTCTGAGTACAAGCATGCCACAGAGTGTGAGGAGAAGTCAGCAGACTATTTGTAAGAGTTGGTTCGCTTTCCACCACGTGAGGTCATGGCAATTCAACTTACGTTGCAAGGGTCGGCATCAGACAGCGTTACCCATAAACCACCTCACAAGCCCTGTTCTCCTTCTTTTGAGAGATGTCTAATTCATTTTCCCATTTACTCTTTATAGTATTTTGAGACATACAGATATAAAAATGTCATAAGGAAACCCATCATTTTGTACATGAACATATACACTACTTAAAATTGTACTGTGTCAAACACATTTATACATATATACTTATACATACATACATTCAAACATAAATACTCATGCACACATACACACACCAACAGGAATTAGACACGGAAATACAAAATCCAGGAAAAAAAAAAAGAGAGAAAAAATGAAGAAAATAACAAATGTCAAGAATGTAACCAGCACAAAATCTTTCGACTTTTCTTCCACTTTGATAATTCACAAATCTTTAAGACCAGGGTCAATGTCCATGACTGCTGAATCTTTTCGACCATCATGAATCTTTTCCCTAATACAAAATATTTCCTCTATAGCATATGCAAAGTTTTGCATTTAACATATATTCAAGGAAGAAGTGACTCTTAGAGTAAATAAGGCATATTTTTTCTTGACAGGACTCTGAAGGTACAGGTAGTTGATCACAAATCAAACTTTATCATGTTGCCTTGAAAAACAGAAAGCATGGTGGTGTGAAGTTCCAAAAGGCCTGTAATGTTCAGTTATTTATTTATTTACTTTGAACAGCAAATTGTTAAGTTTTTTTAAAGATATTTATGCTAGACAAATGATATTAACCAGAAGGCTCAATAAGACAATTTAGAAAAAAGTTAACAATGAAAAGCACACCAAACTAATAATGTAAACCCTTGTTATCAGTATGTGAGCAGAGGAAAAGTGAAATGGGATTTAGTGTATTATTTCTCTAACTTTTATTAACTGGAAGGGCTCAAGGCCTCTGTCTGTCTCTATTTCACACACGTACACTCATACACACATTGGGGGTGGGAAGGGAAGTACAGGCAAACATACAAAATACACATGTATCTTGTTCACTGTATTAGATATTTTCAAAGGGACAACAGAATTTAGTACTAGAAAAATATAAAGGCAAAACCATGAGAATTGTGCAGTAGAAGTCTGCAATAAGAAGGAAATTTAACTGGCAATAGTGAAAGTATGCTGTCCATCTGAGAGGAACGAGAGGTACATGGGTTAAGGCTGGCAAGTCTGGGAAATGGAATTATGGGGAAAGCCATAGTAATAAGCTTGAGGAGGAACAGGAAAATGTTTCCTGGATATGCCAGCTAAATAAAGACAAACTGCCTAGTTCCCCTAACTGTCAGGAATACTAGTTGCTTATTTCTCCACCGTATCTATTATGGAGCAGGAACTGGTATGGGAAGAAGCCATTCATTAAGCATTGGTAAAAGAGGGGGTAGTTTGCTAACCATCAACAGCAAAAGTTCACTAGACAAAGAAAAAAAATGTGTTTATGCAAAATGTAAAAGGGAATACTGAAAATGTACATTTAAGTGTGTGATTAACACTAAGTAACTTCTATTCCAAGAGCATGATCAATTTCAAGGATTCCTGCTTTTAGAAAGCTTATTATCAGATGAGATAACAGATGAGTAGAGATAATAGTGCAAAACAGTGAGAGGTTAAGTAGCCATGAAATACCAGAGCACAAAGCTGAGCTTGCAGAAACCAAACCGAAGGAAAAGATGGTTACTAAGACTAGTATTTACCAATTATATATTTGATTACTTATTAGTATTTTAGTGAATTAGCACATTAAAAATAATTTTATGAGCTGGGTAGTGGAGGCAGAGGTAGAAAGATCTCTGTGAGTACCAGCCCAGTCTACTGAGTGAGTTTCGGGGCAGCCAGGGCTATATACACAGAGAAACCTTGTCTCAAAACAAACAAACCAACAAACAACTCCAACCAAACAAAATAAACTTTTATGGAGTAAGTTCTATCCATTTACCCCAAACTTTTTTTTCTCAAAGGATATTCCCCTAGTATGCATACATATCTTTTCCAAAAAAAAAAAAAAAAATGCTTATTATCACTAGTAGATTTCCTATCAAATAAATTTGATACATGCTTTCCAAGAATTCTAACCAGGAACAATGTAAGGGGAGGAAACAATGAAAAAAACTGAAGCACTATTAGTGGCACTGACAACTTGAGAGAAGAACAAAAGGGAGAAAGACTGAAATCACTGTCAGCAGGGACTGACAGACCCCACTGATCTCTGAAACCACAGACTTAACAGTAGAGCTAAATACCTGGCAAAAGGCTGAATTAAATCAGTAATACCTTAAAGGGATGGAACAGGAGTTTGCAGGTAACTACAGAAGGCTTCTGGGAAAATAAAGCACCACATGCAAAGGCATGTGTTAGTACCTGCAACACCTGGGTGCCTAGAGAAGATGGAAATCATATGTTCAAGACAGAAGCATGGAGTGAAGGGTGGTGCTGAGGCTACACCCAAAGGTTACGGTTGCAAGGGGAAAGGCTTGTATAGAATTCAAAATTTTGGAGTTATATTCAAAAGCAAACTGACTTTGTTTTGAACAAATATGTGATACTAGATTTGCTTTTGATGGATAGTAAAGCATGGGTCAATGGTGGGATTAGTGGCAGGGGCAATTGCTTTTGTATAAAAATGCCTAGACCTAGACCAAGGGTTATCTTGTCATGAAACCCATCCATGATCTCAGTCAGTCTTCCTGATATCCTACCTCTCTATCTTTGAAACACTCACAGTTTGCACAACTTCATTATTTAATGGAAGAGTAGGCACCTACTAGGTGCTTGCTGAGGGGATATTTAATCATCTATATAAGTATTACTCTCCTCAATCTGTCTGCACACAGGAGTATGCCATCACACCTGGCACTGCCTCTACTTGGAATACACCCAGAAACTGTGACCAAAAAAAAAAAAAAAAAAAAAACTTGGCCTAAGGTATTGAAGGAGGAGACATATGGCTCTGTCCCTCAAAGTTCTCAGTTTTGTCTCTAGTACTTAGATATCAGTTGGCATCCCAAATGGCCAGGTCAGCCTCCTCTTCTATTCTTTTAATTTCTATTTTCTGTCTTACCTTAATGATATATACACAGAGTACAAAATAAATTCATCAGGTGAGAAAAATACTGAAGTCATTAATGTGCTAAGTTCCTTGCTAAATTAAAAAAAAACTGATCATGTTTATAATCTGAGCATTAATTCTTGATAATCTTATGTTTTCATTTGGTTTCAATATTTTATTGACTGAATATTCATGTAATATGTAAATACCAAATATTAGACAATTCATAAGTATAGACCTACCATAAACGCCTATTAGACATTCATTGCTTATTTAGGACTTTAAAAATAGTATTTAAAAACTTTTCTCCAGCACTTTAAAGTCACATATATTTATTGATTTTCTCAATTATTAATTCTACAGGGTAAAACTATTACTTTACAGAAACAAAATACTTTGATAAGCAGAACTAGAACTTCTACAAAATGCCCACTGAGCAGTACTACTCCAAGTCTGACCTCTAACAAAACAACAAGTGAGCCACTTATCCTAGCTGTTCTCCCACACATCCTATAAAAAGTAAACACACAGTGCTGTGTAATGAGCAGCTTTTCCACTGTTATAAACCCTCAATGTGGCATTGTTGTCACCATTCTTTAAGCCTTAGCAACTACTATTAATAAGATAACAACTGCAGTCACCAGGAGGGAACTTGTTACATGAACTTCTAATCAGAGGCTCTGCCAGATAGACCCACCACTGTGTGTGCTCCAGAGAAGGGAAGAAGCAACAAACCCCCAGATTCAGGATTCCCCAGGGTTCCATAGAGTGACCACACAGGCTTCTTTCCTATCCCTGAACTAATTCCTAACGTCTATATCATCCATATATTTCAACTATCAGGCAAACAATGAAAGAAGTAAATAAAGATGAGGAAAACCAAGGACGAGGAATAAAGAATTATTAAGCATCCCTATTTTGTAACAGGTTTAAGATAATATGTTACCTATGTAATAAATGTATCTATCTGATAGATACACAGACACAGCGCAGAAAAGGAGGCAGTAAGTTAGTTGTGGAAGATCTCCAACAGTGGTTGTACGTATTTATTACTGGGTTTTAGTAAAAGGCTTGTTTAGTTTAAAAACAATGCCTTTTACCCAGAAGCTTTTTTTGTTGTTGTTGTTTTTAATCACTTTTCAGTAAGATCCCAGCCCTGAAGACTTCTAACTCGCATAAAGGAAAATAATGTCATTTGGGAAAACCATTGCTTAAGTATGTTCCCTTATGTTTTGAGGCGTTTAAAAGCATATTTTCATAAGGCCTGAAAAGTTCGTTCCTAACAAGTTAGTTGTGTACTATGTTTTACCCAGATTTCAAGGACCCTAAACAAATACACAGCAGATAACTTAAAACTATAAAACTAAAAGAAGAAACCATTCCGGAAGCAGATCCGGGTGTCTTCTGGTCTTGCCAAAACCAAGACCACATCCCTAACAAGTGCCTGCTGGCCCCATCCGTGTCACTCCCCAACCCTGCGCCCCAGGGTTAAAAACTGTAAAATTCTCGCTAGGCGAGATCCGGCAAAAACCCTGAGGAGATGTGGGGCCTGGAACGCCCTGATGACCAGCAAGCAGGGCTTCCCCGAGGCCCCGGTTCTGAACAGCCACGCCGACCACGCCGTTTTTGTGTGGACCGCAGCAAGAACGGGGTCCTGCGGTCGCCCGGAGCTGTCCGGGCCGTCCCCGGCTTGGTCTTAGCTCGGGCCTCCCAGGCGCGGCCCTAAGCGCCACCTCACCTGCATGCCCGGAGCCCCGGGATCGACCCCGGTGTCCAGGACGGCGATGAGCACCCCGCGCCCGTCATACTCCGGGTAGCGGCACAGGAAGGAGGCGGCCCCGGTCTCTTTCTTCGGCAGAAGACCGTGGAAAGGGAAGGGCTCCTCAGTGGCGGCGGTGGCCATGGACCCGAGCTGGAGGACGAAGGAGGAAGAGGCAAACTGCCAGAACGCTCGCGGACCGGCAGCGCGAGGACACCGGGCCGCCGCGGGCCGGAGGCGGGCAGAGGGCGGTGCCAGGCCGGCAGCACCCAATCGCATGTGGCCAGAGATGCCCAGCCAATCATATGTCACAACGTAAGCAAACGGCGCCCCTACGAGGCGCTAGATAGGAGAGTTGCTCGGGCTGCTGCGCTGGGGAGGAATCTGCGCTGCTGCTGAGAGCTCTGTGCTGGAGCCAGGTTCTTAAAGGGGCTGTGCTGGGGTGCGAAGGCACCGACTTTCTTCCGAGCTGTCGCTGTCAGTGAGAAGCCTTGGGAGGAACAGGCCGCCCGCCCGAGCCGCGGGATGCCCGCCATGCGGTTGTCGTCTTTCATCGCTGCGGCCCGAAGCCCTGTAAAGTCAGGTTCAGCGGTTTCAGGTGGAGTGGGGGAGAGGCAGCCGTTCAGTCAACAGGAAGAGGGTTGTGGGCTATTCTGTCCCCAGTGTTCTTGAAACAAAGCACGGGACCGAAATGACCCCCCCCCCCCCATCCCCACCCTTCTTCATGGCCTACTCTTGGCGGCCGGGATTCCAGAAAATATCAGCTATCAGCCTGCTTTTCTCCATCAAAGTTCCCGTTTTCTCCTTCAGGCTCAACAATATTATCGAGCCATAGTTTGCATTTTTTTTTTTTTTTTCTCATTACGATGTCCAGTGATGGTGACCAACTCCTGTGTTCTGTGGTGCCTGAATGAGCTCACAGGATAATCTTAATTGCCCCATTGACTGTTTTATGAGACCCTCTCACAGTGACATTTTTACATGCATAAGACAGGAAGTAAAGTGTTGAAAAGGTTATGAAAACACAATTTTTGTTGATATCGTCACATGTAATTATGCATGTGCTTTGTTTTGATTAAATAACAAAAGCCAGCATCAAGTCTAACAAAGTAAAAAGTCTACTGTGATTTCTAAATCGGGAAGCAAGTGTAAATGACATTTGAATATATCCAAACTACACAGATTAGTTTAACTGGTAACAAGGTAGCAGTGTCTAGTTGTTGCCTACATCATAATTAAAAAGAAACAACTTCAGAGTTGAAAATAATTTTTCCTATACAACATGGGCCCTTTGCATTTCCATGGACTCCAGTCTAAGAGGCAAATGTATGGAATACCTCAGCACTCCCAGTGACTCCTGAAACTTTGCTCTAGTGTCTGCGGTGATTACTGCTGATTTCCTCAGTTTTCATTCTGTAAGGTAAGAAGAGTTTGCCCTTGGTGCTGAGGGAAAGGTAGCAAGGTCCATCTTTCTGACCAACTGTGATTCATTACTTTTAGGACAGAATTGGAAAGCACTTAAGTACTTGAACAGTAAAGGAAAGAGAATGGCAAACTCTCCGGGGATTTTCAGTATTGAGCATGCAGAGGTGGAATGAATTGATTTGCAGCTTCCACCACTTCATTTCATATAGAGGAAATGACTCTGAAAGCCAAGGGTTACTAAACAGGTCACAGCTGAAACTAAGTTCCTTTTTTAATGGTCTGTCTGTAGTACTTTCTACCCTACTGTGTTGTGCCTACCAACCAGAGTATGAATGCCTACTCAGTGAGTGCTTAGAAAATTACTGTTTATATGAAAAATAAGCAGCAGGTTTCTTAAAAACTTCATTTCAAGTTTTTTTTTTTTTTTTTTTTTTTTGCTTAAGTATGCCTTTCTACAGTTTTAAGGTGACAGGTGATGCCAAATCAGACTAGGAGATTTAAAGGACATTATTTCTGTTGTACTTATGTACTAGCATTCATCATATCACTAGTTTCTTTATAGACAGTTGGATGCCCAACATCCTGTATTCATAAAACACTCAAACACTGACAGTCAGCCACCCTATGCCATTCATTTTGGAATAATATTTTCATTCTGTACAGAATTATTCATATTTTTGAAGCTGTGACTTCCATTATAAATATATCACAATAAAATATAACAACATAAGATTATAAAATGTATTAAATTGTAATTTTGAAGGATTTCTTGGGATCATAATATTAATTTTTCTTTTGTATTCTTATAATTGCAAAGTTGATAAACAATAGGAATAAATCCCAAGATTAAAAATGAGGATAAAGGTGGGGGATAGGGAGGGAGCAGGGAAAGATGAGGCAGCTTTTACAAAGATGTGTGGCATGTATAAGCCATACTTCCATTAGTAACAAGCTGCTGGATAATATTTAATAAGGATAAGATTTTCATATATAAGTATGTCTCTTGTAGAACCAGAGCAATCAGCTGCTACCTTTTAGGGAGCAAAACCAGGATACAGGAGCATTATATAACAGCCCCAAAGGTGACATGAACAAGATCTGAGAACAGAGCTACTCCCATTTTTTTTTAACCACCCATAACAAATGTCATCTTTTGCTATAACCTTTGCCTAAATTGGGGCTAAGATGGATTTAGTGAAATGGTGAAAATTAAATACAAATCTCAGCAGAGCACTACATGATACTGTGCTTTCCTGACCATCCCCCAGCACTTGCCCCACATAGGACATTCTGGGGTATGTTTGAAAGACTAACATTTAAATAATGTGGTCCCTGGTTGTGACACCTGCAGTCCTAGCTCCTAGAAGGCAGAAGCTAAAGCATTTTGAGCTGGAGGCCAGTCTGGGCTGTCCAACCAAACTCTCTCTCTCTCTCTCTCTCTCTCTCTCTCTCTCTCTCTCTCTCTCTCTCTCTCACACACACACACACACACACACACACACACACGCATGCACGCACGCACACACACTCAGAGAGAGAGAGAGAGAGAATTATTGATTTAAAATTGTTCCCATGGTACAGGACATTAGACTTTGATTTTTAAATTTTACAGTATTTAGTTTGTTCATTTTGTATGCTTCCAAGTCTACTACACTTATAGATAATAAAAAGCAACATTCAGGATATATGACACTCCCACTTAAAAAGTAGGAGCTCCAGGCATGAAATAGGAGGTGTCCTTCCACCATAGGCACACTGTCAGAAAGTTAAGTTTAGTAAGTGTTCCAGATGTGAAGCATCTGAAAATTGTGTTAAAAAAACCTGTGACTTTGTGCTATAGTCTGAAGACCTTTTTTATGGAATGCTGAAGCTACTTTAACTCAATTAACAATAATTTATCTTTTATTTTCAAGACATAGAGTTGCACATTTACACACTTACAATTTTTTTTCTTCCTTTGGTGCAATGAATGGCATTCTTAGAGGGATTTTGGTTTTACCTTTTTTTACATGTTGAGTTAGTTTGGGCTATTTGACAACTTGACCATTGGGTATAGGAAGGAAATAAGTAGAGGATACTTTGAGTGGGGGAAACAATGAAAATATAGGTAAACAAAATAAGGCTTATATGTGAGAGAAGAGGAAGAGGAGGATATGTCAAACAGGCCATTAAACCAAAGCATCTGTCTCTCTATGTAAGGTTAAGTAATAGGCTGGATGCCCATTCCCAGGAGGGATTGTTTTAAAGCAGGAAGTGCTGAGTCATATGTAACGTGCCTTCTCCAAACACATGCCCCATATGAGAATGCAAGCTCATTGCAATGTAGTATTACTGCACCTTATAATTTGCAGAACACTTTATAATCAGATTTCCTCAAATAGGCAGGGACAAAACATCTAACAAGCCATAGTCCTACAGGCTTTGAAGCCCTCCATACCTCCCTGGGAGTGGCTCACACCAATGACTGACTGCAGTAGAGATCTCAAGGAGACTGGTTCCTGGGAGATGAGGGGTTCCTTTGACTCTTCAAATCTTTGTTAACTGTTCCTTAGAAAGCACAACAATCTAGGACACAACAGCTTAACTTCTTTACCACTGACTCTAAGTCACAGGTACAGCATAGCCAGAAACCTCTGCCAGAGGTGTGGATGTGATTTTAGACAGCACAACACTTCATTAAGTAGAATCTTGATTATTTGATTCTGTCTTGGCATCTGGATAATAAGACTGAAACGTATGTATGTATGTATGTATGTATGTATGTATATATATACATGTACATATATATATGTATATATTATGCACATAACCTAGAAATCTACTGTCATGTAAATCAGAGCTTCATAGCATATTTATTTTCTAAATTTCTGGACAGCCTGGGCACTTGGCGGTGGATCCTCCAGAATTGGTTGCTACAGGTGTCAAGGAGATTCATTCATTCTCTCTAGAATGCCATTCAGACATTCTAATTTTCAGTAGATGTGGTGATGTAAACCCTAACAGGAAAATCTATATAACATGCATTTTAATTGTTCCCTCTGTGTGTGGTAATCATTTAAAACCAAATCTAGATAGAAAAATTAGTAGATACAAATTCTGTAATTTAAAAATGTATCACTTAAAAACCCGTGGAGCGCCATGCATTGGTGGCACCTGCCTTTAATCCCAGCACTCGGGAGGCAGAGGCAGGCAGGGATCTCTGTGAGTTCAAGGCCAGCCTGGTCTACAGAGCTAGTTCCAGGACAGGCTCCAAAGCAATACAGAGAAATCCTGTCTCGAAAAAACAAAAACCAAAACAAACTAACAAACCCTGTGGAGCAAAATAGCTTATTAATAAATTCTTCGCTCTATAAATTATTAGCTGACTTGCCTGAGGGTTTCCTTTACCCCACTTCAGTATTTGAGACAATTCTTGCTTATGAGAACCTGTAGGTTTACTTTGCATGAGTTCAGTTTTGAAATGAACAATGTTTTATTGACAAAGCCTAATGAGAACATTTGTCACCATAACCTGTCTCTCTTGAGTCACAAATGTCCCTTTATCCAGTATATCCACACTGGATAGACCATCTACTTACTAGGTTCTTGATAGCAGTCTTAATTAACAGTATGTGATATATAGAGTTCAGTATTATGTATAAATTCAGGTATATGTGAGGGTCTTGGGATGGGGACTATGACATTGGTAAACTAATGTGTATATAGGAGTGGATATTTTCTCTGCTCTGAGAATTTGCTGAAAAGAAGCCACAGTGTTCCAGAATTGCATGGCAGGAATGAATATAGTACATGACTTTTCTTGTGGTCCCATGAAACAATGAACC